TTATGATTTCATGTCCATCTAACTTCACTGTGCGTGGAGCGCGTTCTCTTCTTCGCGTGACGTTTATGTTATACAGCCACATTTTTTAATCTAAATTTTTTTAATTTTATCAAATAAATTAATAAATAAAACTAATTTAAATTATAAAATTAATGATGTCAAAAAGAAAAAGCGTTTATCGTGAACAGTTTTCAACTGACTTTCCAGGGATTAAAAACAGTAAAAAAGGTGAAAATTATGCCTTTTGCGAATATTGTTCAACTGATGTTAGTATTGCGAACGCAGGCGTTTCATCTATTAAACAACATTTTGAAAAAGAAGTTCACAAAAACAACGTGAAAATTAAAAAGTCTACTGTCGGAATATCAAAATTTTTTCATAGTAATAATTTGCCCACATCTAGAAAAACTGCTGCAGCAGAAGGAGCATTTGCATATCATGTCGCTTTTCACTCGTTATCGTTTAAAGCTGCAGATTGTACAAATCGTTTAATTTCAACTGTTTTCGCTGAATCGGAAACTGGTCGGAAATTTTCATCTGCTCAAACAAAAACGCAGACAATCATTTCAAGAATATTGGCTCCGAAATCAATTGAGAATCTTTTGTCTGAATTGGGCAGCGAGCCGTTTTCTATTGCAACCGACTCGTAAAATTTTAAAGAAATCAAAACATTCCCTATCATTATTCGGTATTTTTCGCATGAAGGATTGAAAGTTGAATTGTTAGAGTTTTTCAAATTTGCCAGGAGAAACGTCAGAATTGATTTTCAAATATGTAATGACTGTACTTAGATTCAAATTGAGCCCTAATAATTTGGTAGCGTTCAGTGCTGACAACGCTAATGTAAACTTTGGTGGAGCAAAACAGAATGGTCAAAATAACGTTTTTGCCAAATTGAAAAACATCAATCAAAACTGATTGCTGTAGCCTGTCCAGCTCACATTCTCCATAATGCAGCTAAAAAATCCTGTGAAAGGTTTTCACTTGACATTGAATCGTTGCTGTTCAAAATCTTAAGCTATTTCAATGGATCCACGCTGCGACATGAAAAATTTAAAGAATTTTGTGAATTTATGGAAATTCAATATGCTAAATTTCCAACTCATACTCGCACACGATGGTTAAGCCTTCTTCCATTGATTGAACAAATTTTACAGTTATGGGGTGGCTTAAAATCACTAGTTCTATCAACGGATGACATTCCAAAGGTTCTGGAAAATTTATTCTCTGATGATTCAAATGAAATCTACTTCTGGTTTCTACAGAGCTCATTGCAGCTGTTTCAGCAAACTTTGCTGATACTTGAAAAAAAAGACCTTGTGCTTCCTGAAATGATAGAATCACTGACAGGATGCAGAAAAATTTTTTTGGTGCCATGACTCAATCAAAGTTGCAATCATTAGAGGATTCTAATTTGGCTAATCGCATAGAAAAGGTGTTTTTAACATTTTATTCGACATCTGTTGATTACATTCAGAAGTGGTTCAGAATTACTGATTGTCCGTCTTCTTCTAAGTGGTTAATGCTGAAATCTGTCGATACAATTTTGTATAAGGATATTCGAAAATCTGCAGAGTTTCTAATGCCAGAAATTTCTGTGAAAGATTCTCTGTTTGATGAAACGAGTCTTCTAATTTCACTGTTGAAAGATTCAAAAGAAAGTTTCCACGAATTGCCCATTGATATAAAATGGGCTGTTCTGTTTCAAAACGAACTGTTTTTAGATTTGAAGAAATTGGTATACACAATTTTTGCCATTCCTACCTCGAATGCTGCTGTTGAGCGAATTTTTTCATTATGTAATAAACAATGGACTGATGATAGAAACTGCCTAAAAATTGATACTGTTAAAAGTTTACTACAGGTAAAGTTTAATTATTCTTTAACATGCTCTGAAATGTACACTTACTTGTTAAAAACCATGACTTAATTAAGCAAATACAATCAAAGGATAAGTATGTTGGTTGATTTCAGTAGTATGCCGGAGATCAGAGACTTATACAAAAAATTGAGAAACTGTCGTATAGATTGAGTACTACAAGGAAGGAACGCTAGTATTTTTATTATATATATATTATAATCCGAATATATTATATATATATAATTTTTATTATATATACATATATATATATATATATATTTTGTTGAAATCGATCGCTGTTACTAAATTGTTTCTTTTCTTTTTTAGATTTTCCAACTTTCGAATTAGTTTTTTTATGTTCGTAATCTAGGTCGTGTATTAAGTTTCCTAAAGTCATTTTTAACAATTTTATTTCCCGACGTTTCGATGATATTACATCATTTTTAAGATTAATTTTATAACTAATTTTTCCGTAGTTATATAGATATCTAAACAAAGTAAGTTTGAAATTTCAAACCTAGATTACGAATACGAACATAAAAAACTAATTCGAAAGTTGGAAAATCTAAAAAAGAAAAGAAATAATTTAATAACAGCAATCGATTTCAACAAAATATGTATAAAAGAGAACCTACTGCCGAATTACACAGACATATATATATATATATATGTATATATATATATATATATGTATATATATATATATATATATATATACACACACACACACATATACATATATCTGAATCTGGTTTTAAATTTTGAATTTGAATAAAAGAAATTTCCATTGTTATTAGTATTTACTGAATTTAGATTTTTTGTAAAAATTGTCCTTTTTTTTGCGAAAAGTAAATGGGAGCCCTATGAGCCAACGGGAAGCCAATGAGTTTTGCAATGAATAAGCTTCAGTGAGTGCATGGCATACATTGACCAACTTCGAACATACCAAACATTTTTCAAATTTGTCAACTTTGCTTTGGAAATAACTTTACGCATGCTTACAGAAGATTTTCCTTTTGTCCGCCTTCTTTGTGGAACAGTCTGCTCTCATCTTTCAGACAACAACCGTCTCTTAGTCTGTTCAAAAAAGCACTTGGTCGCGATCAAGGTGGCAATTCATCCTGAGCGCTCCAGACGCTGTGCATGACACATTATTATAAAATCATATATTATATCCGCTTATAGGTTTTGTACTATATATTTTATAATAAATATAAAAACATTTAGCAAAGTTGTAAAACAACTATTTAGTGTTTTTAATGTAACATTGGTCTACTATTGTTGCGCATGTCTGCGGATTGATTTTTTTTAATTTCAATGTTAATCTAAAATTTAAATTTATTAAAAATTGACGGCGGCGACGAAAATGTCGCGTTAGGTCGGCCAATCATGCCTGACGTTATTTTCCTTCTATTGTTGCAAATTTACAAACTTATAACGATGCTGAACCGCTGACTGATTTGATTTTCATTTTAATAATAAATTTGTTGCATAGCTAATTTAAAAATTTAGTTAGTTATTTCTTATTTCAATAAAAATAAAATTGTAAATATTAAAAATAAGTTCAATATTAATGTGTAAATATTTGAAAAAATTCATTTGATGGTTGAATTTGATTCCACTTTCTTGTTGGGAGAAAAAATATGGATAATTTTTAAAAGACTGTTCAGTCTTCAGTGTTTGTAGTGGTTTGAAAGAAAATAGTTTATTACTTTGTATTGTTTTGTATGTGTGTGTCTTCTTTTCTTTTCACATGATGTCCACTTTTGAACTACACAAAATCAACAATAAAGGAAATAATGAAGACACACCACTAGGTTCCAGCAACTCATCTGGATCACAGCAAGGTCAGCCATTTTTTCCTTTTACCTTTACTAATTTAATCTAAATTTCTAAATAGAATTTGCTCTTGCTCTAGTCAGTGAAAAGTAAAATAAATATTTTTAAATAGTACTTTAGTCTTAGTACTTAGTCTATTAGTCTTAGTGGAAGTGCTTCCTTATGCTTTAATGTGGCTTAGTTAATGTTAAATGATATGGCTTATATTAAAATAGTCATTTACTGAAAATTAGTATATGATATAAATAAATGATAGCAGAGTATTTATTTGTGAATATGTTTATTATATATTTATATATTCTCAACTGAATTTTATTACAGAAAATTACTGTGATATTTGCAATTGAGTTATCTTCAGAGGTGCTGATTGTGTTTTGTCTTGATGACAAAAAAATGCTTTAAAAGCTTTACAGAACTCTATAGCAGATACCTAGATACCTGTGTTAAATTTTGAAGCAACCTAAATTATAGTACAATGAGTTCCAAAATGAATAAAAGGTTTTGAATTAAATTAAGTCAGACAAGAGATCTATGCTTTGCTGATCTTGATTAAATTAACTTTCTTGAGGAATAAATTAAATAAGTTAAATTTATCAACTCTCTCTCTAATAAATTACTGTGTTTTTAAATTTAAATAAACATTTTCTCACCACTATCAGCACTATTTTGTTGAATTAACAAGTATTTTTTGCAAATTTTCTTCCATTGGCATAAATTACTTTACTAAAAAAAAACACCCACAAAGTTTTCTACTGAAATATGGTCTATTGAGCTTGTAGGTTTTGATGAAAGGAAGCCTCTAAACATAATGGATTGGGTATTATGTTCCTAAAATTTAATGCAATGATACACTGCATAAAATAAATGGATGCGACAGCTGACTAGTTTTGTATTTTGACCAAAGTGTGTTTCTTATGATTATAAGTTTTACTATTTTTAGTTTCATTACTTTTTGACTGTTGCTATCAAATAATATTTTTTTAAAGAGTTTAACACTAAACAGCTATTTACATAGTATTGTGACTAGAGAAATATGTTAAACTTCTCACAGAACATGAACAAGTTATTCCATCGACCTTACCTTGTTCCTCAGTCAAATGTGATGACATTAAACTTTTTGCTTCTCTTCCAGCAAATCTCGCAGATGCCAGCCAGTTGTTCATAGATGACAAGTGCCCCATCTGTTCTGATAAAGTATCTGGTTATCATTACGGCCTGCAAACCTGCGAAAGTTGCAAAGGTATATTTTTCAGTTCTTTTTCTTTTTTATTATATGGCATGGTTGATCGATCAACTGAATGTAGATTGTTCAAAAAATAATCTAATTTTATTAATTCGTTAACATTCTCTAACTTTCAATCTAAATTTTTTTATTTGTTCTCTATAATTTTATTAAGTGAATAAAAAATATGGCAATAATGTTGTATTAAAAAGTGTATCTGTTTTGTCTTTACTTAATGCATTCCTGCTTCATGAATTTTAAAGAGCATTATATTCCAGTTGATACTTTTGTTTCAAAATTATAATGAACTGATGTAATACAATGTATATGCAATAGTTATATCATGGTATTTGGAAACCATTTATACTCTACATTTCTGTATATTCATTTTCATGCAATACAAATGCACCAAGTGGTTGATGAGTGTTTGTCCAAAGTTATATGAACTTGACAATTTTTGTTTCTTCTATGATATTTTGATATAGAGCTTATTTTCCTTGCATTGTTATATTTTTATATATTGTCCACTTTTTATCCATTTGGAATTGATTTCATGTAAGGTATTTTTTGTTATAGTATTTTAATTTGAGCTTTCTTCTAGCATCATTTTCAGTTTTCGACTGAAAATTTAGCAAATACACAAATTCGTAATCAACTTTTTTTAAAATCATTCTTGGATGTCTCTCTAATGAAATTGGTGCCAGAATGTTTGATGTTATTAGCCTGGTGGTTTGAACAGCCTATTTGCACATGAACTCCCATTTCTGACATTTTAGGAAATATATCAAGAGATTTTTTACATTTAAAAAAATTTTTTACCGGCACTAAGATAAATTTTATACCACAGGATTTTTCAAAAGGTCAGTTCAGAACAACAAAAAATATTCTTGCATAGAGAATCAAACATGTCCTATAGACAAGACACAAAGGAAAAGATGTGCTTATTGCAGATTTCAAAAATGCCTTCTTGTTGGCATGAAACTGGAAGGTTATTATTATTTTTTAAATTATTTTTTAGTTTTCTTTTTAAATCTGAAATTTTTACTTTTTAGATCATGTACCTGTTAGTTCCATTTTTTATAACAGCTTTCTCAAATGTTTCAAACCGAAATGATAATATTTTAGGAGCTAATGTTTGCAACATTATCCACCAATGCCATTATTTTTTAAAGTTCAAATCTGTTTCCTACTGTTTTGTCAATATTTTACTCTTGCCTATTGTTGTCTCAATATCTTAATATTAATGTAAGAAGTAGTTTTTAACCATTAAGAGTTATAATAAAAATGTAAAGAGGTTTGTGAATGAATAATCTTTTTGAACAGCTGTGAGGCCCGACCGCATGAGGGGAGGCAGGAACAAATTTGGTCCCGTGTACAGGAGGGACAGGGCCCTGAGAAGACAGTTGCTATCCAGACAAGCAGAAATGGGTTTACTGCCCATGGTGTCATCCATTGCTGCTAAAAATCAAGGCAGTGAAACTCTGCAGCCAGACATTATGTACCAACAACAACAACAACAACTGTTAACTTTGAACGATACAGACTCCAAGCCTTCTTCATCTGCTTTGAAACAAATCACTCCTCATAGTAAATCGATAGACTACATGGGCATTCAGAAAGTTGATGATGATTTAGATATAAAGCCTTCTATTGAAATGCTGATTTTGCAGCAACAATACCAACATCAGGAACGTCAACAGCAGCAAATACAGCGTCCGCATTTGATGTCTCCCAAAAAAACACATCTGGTTAGCGATCAACAGTTTTCTAACAATCTGTTCTATAACAGCAATCAGGTAAATAAAAGCCAACTAAATTTAAATGCTCCATTGACCTTTTCAGATTTCAATAGTTTTTTAGATAAAAATACATCGACCACAAGTAATAATTCACCATTGAAATCTTACGGCCTTGTAGGTGACTGTTCAGACTTGAATCAAAATTTTCGTAAATGTGAAAAAACAAAGGATCTCGTGCAATTAGGATCTGATTCCAATTTGTTAATATTAGATAGTTTGCATCAAAAAAATGTAGATCATCTTATAAATAACTCACATACTAAGATGCAGGATGCCTCTCCCAGCGACTACCTCAAAATCAATCACAATCATCAACAGTTTAATCTTTTACATCATCAACATTTTCAACAATTACAACAACATCAGCAGTTACAACGGCATAAACTTGAACATTTACAATCACCTTCCATCTTAAGTTCTCAGGGGCAGCAATCAAATCATACTTTCACAAAAACCTCACAACAGCATCAGATTCAACTTGATTATCAGATCCAACTTGATCATCAGTTTCAACTCAGGTCCATTGCTAGTTTACAGCAGCCTTTAAATAGTAATTTTCAATTATTAGACAACAACAATAATGAATGTGGAATGAATACGATGCATGTTACTCTAACTGAACCACAATCAATAGTGAAGTTCCAGGGGCCACCTTCAAAATTTGAACTGTCGACTGCGGAACATCAGCAACTCATGATCGTTACATCACCTAAATCATCATCATCATCATCCAAACAATCCTCTTCCTTAACTGTTTCAGTTCCCTCATCATTATATTTTGATTCCATGAACAATGATGACAACCACATGCAAACATATTCTCGTACCATTCGTCTCATTACTGACCTGCAAGGTAATGACCATCGCCTTCACGAATCGACAGCTAAATTGCGACAAATGACAGATAATTTAATATTACACTTGGAAGACACCATCGTTCAACTGCAGCAGCATACTTCCCTAGAGGACGCCAGAGAGTTATGCATTAGATACATGATTCAAGTAAATTTTTTTCATTTTTTCATTCTGATAAGATGCTTTGTTGATTATTTTAATTTGCTCTAAGTAAAAAATACTATTGATAAATTTCCACTTGAAGGTGTTTTGTCGATTGGTTGATCAAGCATTGTTCTATTTAGTCAGTTGGGCTCGCAAAGTGCATTTTTTCAAAGAACTATCCGTTAGTTGTTCTTTTTTATATAAAATCTAAAAGTTATTTTACAGAATTTTTTTTACTCTATTATCTGGATGTCACTTTGCAAGTTCAGTAACTATAATAAAACCAATACCATCATTGCTGTATACTACTTCTATCCTGACCAGCTAGATGTAAGCAGCTAAACAAAGTTATGCTAATTTAAAATAGACATTAGAAAAATTTTAAAAAAATAAGCTAATGACATTTAATGTAAATTTTTCAAAAATGCGAAAAATGATAGTAAATGAAAATTTTTTATGAAATGGGCTAAGTATTAGTACGATTTTTCGGAACTGAGGCAACAGGATGAGAACTGGCTTAAGTAAGCAACCGGTCTAGCTTGAATTAAAACCAAATTAAATGCACTATCGGAGTATATTGTACTAATTAGCATATGTAATTTTATTTAGATACATTAAGTGAAGAATGATGTAAGGGAATATAGCTAATGTACAAGGGTCTTCTGTACAGTGATCAAAATTGGATGTAACTATCTTCGAAGCAAACACCATATGACAAATGAATTGAGAAAATTAACAACAATTGTAATAGCAATTAATACAATTGTAAGAAATTTAATTTATTAGCATTCATAAAATGTAAAGTATTATTATACAATATCTAAATTCATGGAAGATGAAAATGAAAGAATATTTTATTTCTATGTTCAAAGATGTCAGAACGAAAATTTTCCATTACATTTTGTTTGATTTGAATTAAATTTGGAGACGTAACCTTGTGCATAGATTTTTAAAGATCAGTGACAACTTGGGAGAAATTTTTTGAATATCTTAAATATATTTTATTGTTGGGTTTGGAAAAGTTATTGTTTGAATTTTCAAAATTGCTAAATGAATACATATTAAAGTCAGCAAATCAGTTGTTGGAAAGCGTTAACAAAAAGTTATTGAAAATAATAGTCGAAAATTTGCGTTTTTTTTTGAGTTTTTGTGTGCCAGGTTTTTGAATGAAGGATGTATTTCCTATTGTATCAAAAATTAAATAATTAAGCTGTGGGCTAGCCAAAAAATGTTGAAGTTTTGATTGAGTAATAAGACATCTGTAGAAATAGATGGGCTGGGAATTATTCTTTAGAACATCTGATTTGATGTTCATAAGGTAAATTAAAAAAATGATGAAACCCGTATCTGTTGAAAGATTTTATGTTTATGCGGTACGTTTTGTTTCAGATATAATAAAAAGCACACACTGAATTTGTTTAAAATGCTAGAGTCCATTCTCTTCAATTTTTGAGTTAATGCATTTACAATGAAATTATTTTAAAGTAAAAAGTTAATAAGTGCTGGCAGCTGGCACTTAGGGTTCCTTCTCTTTATAAAACCAAAAATTGTAATTCAAAGTGCACAAGGTATTCAACATCACTAAATCTTTTTTACGAAGGTTGACGATCAGATGAAGTTGCTGGAATGCTGCTGGAGTGAATTGCTGCTTCTCGATGTCATTTACAAGCAGATGGGATGCACTCCATCCAGAGATGTAGTTATGGTAAACATTTTTTCTTTTTTATAATTTTTATTTTTCATCGAATATATTCTGTTAAATTTATCAAATTATTGTCAAGTGTATCAATGTTTATTGGCTTCATTATCCAGACTTGTTCATAAATTTCTTGTTATGGCAATCCTGAACTTTTTTAATTTTGCGTTTTCTAGCTTAGTCTACTTTCAAAACATTTTTCTCAAACATTTCAAAGTTATGAATGTTTAAGCTACTTATTTTAGAACAATACTGGATCGATTTTGAATTTCACATTGTCTTTCTCTTTGAAACATTTTTTAGCATTCAATATTTTCCAATGTTTTGTAATGAACAAAACTGTACTTTCCCATTCTGTTTCCCTTCGCGGTAAATATAGTAAAAAAAATTTTTGCTTCTTCAATCAAAGAAAAAATGTAGATTCAATTGAGATTGTTCAATCAGCATCCATGAAAAGAAGTGTTGATTTGTAGATTTTTTAAGGCAGGCATTTCCAATAGCTTTTCTATTATAAATTTTTGTGATGATGATGAAGTGGCAGTGATGATTTGACTTGATTAAAATGACTAAAACCTAAAACAAATTATTCGTGAACAACTCAAAGGACAAATGAGTGTACCATAAAAATAGTTATGTCATTTTGTTGTTAAATGAACATAAAAGCCTAAAAAAAATCACAGTGCAACAAAACTATGAACATTTTTTCATGCAACAGTTGAAATGTTCATGTTTTAGATAAGGTGACCTCGTGGTTTAATCTTGACATCCATGGTTTTTGAAATATATGTAATGCCGATTCTTCATTTTTTGTACATATTTATAGTTTTCAGTCACTATAATCTGTTTGTAAAGTGTTTTGACTTTCCAATAATTCCACATAATTTCAACTTCTGTAATTTCTGTTAAACTGTCTGCTTTATTTCTTAGATCAACTTTTCAAGCTTGTTTCAGGCATATTAGATTTCAACGCGGCTCATTCAATGAACAAACGACCGATGTAGTCGTAGTAGGTTTTAACACTCGTTTGGGAAATGTTTCTGCTGTAATGTGCCTCAGTCGCTTGCCATGGTGCTATATAAAATGACATTATTATTATCATTATTATTACTATACGTTTGTTTGTTACAACTGCAATCTTTCATTTGTTTTTCTATTATAAAATTTGTTGTGATGTTTTTATGATGATGATGACGATGGTGGTGATGATGACGACGAGGATGGGGGTGATGAAGATTTTTGATGTTTGGTTAGTGCTCTTTTTGGGCTGCCACTGGTTAAAGTAAAGATTCTCCAGACATTTCTACGCTTATATTTTGTTATAATGATGATGATTCCTTCCCAAATGATTAGTTTTAAACATTTTTTAAAAGTTTTAACACGAATTTCTTGTTGTTATTATTATTATTATTAAATTCAATGTTTGTCATTATTCATTATAGTTTCCTTGGTTTTTTTAAGAAAGTTAACGTTTTTAAAGTTGACAGATCATCGCATCAGCGTTGAAATGATTGAACAGATTGGCATACCCACAACCTCCATTGACCAGTTTTTTGAACTTATCAGAAAGTTGCACAGCCTTCAGTTGGACATAAATGAATATTCTTGTCTCAAATTCATTGTCCTGTTGAACCCAGGTATTTTTTTAACTATTGTCAAATTCTTGAAATATTTTTTCCATTTTTCAAGAACTGAAGCATTTTCTTGTAGCCTAGCAATCTTTTTCATTAAAAATGATTTTTTAATTGATGAAGCGTAGTTTTGGTGCGTTTAAAAAGTGTACAAGTCAATTTTATTTATTCACCAATATGTTAAGGACGACATCTGACTCTTGAAATCTCCGTCTCCGGAATAATAAATGGCGGGCAAATATGTTATGTATCGCACATCAGGCAACTGATATTGGCTCAATACGATTTCATGTAAAATTTTACGTTCAAAAGTGTAATGCTTGTTGATGGTGTAAACTATTTTAAATTTTCAAGATTTAAGCGTAGAAAATGGTTTTTTTAGATATACCGGGTCTGAGCAATCAAGAAAAAGTGGAACAGTCTCGAGGAGAAGTCAGTGCTGCTCTGCTTGACTACTGCAATGCCTGCAATGCAAACAACGATAAAGTTGGTCAGTTGCTTCTATTGCTGTCCGAAGTTAAGGAGATAAGTGTTGCTCTTGAGAATTATTTGTATGACCAGGTTAAATTAGGAAATACAGGTGAAAGCAATCTACTTATTGAGATACTGCACTCTAATCGTAGTTAATTTTCAATTTGTTTAAATTATATCTATGATAATTTATTCGTTTCATTGTGATAATGTTATTTGAGATAGTTCTCGTTTTTTAAAAGTATAAACTGTTAATATTTCTTTTTGAACATTTTTTATATGTAAAACTATTTAAACATTTAATTAATATTTAAATTTTTCATTTTAAAGCTCTATAAATTAAATTGTTATAATCCTTTTTGTCATCACGTTTTTTAACTTATGTTGGTTGGTTCGTCGGCCAGTTGGTTGAAGACAATATCAATTCTTGTTTTTTCAGATACTGTAAATTAAAATGTTTTATTTATTTATTCATCTATCATCTATGTATTGTGTGGAAAGAAATGGTCAGTGAAGATGAAAGAGAGGGTATATAAAGCATGTGTGAGAGCAGCGATGGTATATGGTGGTGAAACTTGGGTATTGAGGAGAGAGGAGGAAAGTGTACTGCAGAGGGCTGAAAGAGCTATGGTGAGGATGATGTGTGGGGTTAAAGTGAAGGATAGGAGGAGTAGTACAGAGCTGATGTCAATGATGGGACTGAATGAGGACATTGTGACATTGATAAGGAGATCGAGATTGCGATGGTATGGACATGTGTTGAGAAGGGATGAAAGGCGAGCGTTGGAGTTCAAGGTTGAAGGAGTGGTAGGAAGGGGTCGTCCGCGATTGGGATGGAGAGAGCAGGTGGAGAAGGACAGGGTGAAAGCTGGGTTGCGTGATACTGAGGCGAGTGACAGATGTGGATGGCGTCGAGGGGTATTTCGGTTTCATCATAGGTAGCCAAACGGCAACCCCCGATCTCGGGGAAAATGTCGTCTAAACGTGTGTTGTTGTTTGTTCATCTATCATCTATGACATCACTATCACCTGCCAAATCTCTCCACCTTTGATGAAATGATGGAGAAGTCTTAAATTTGAAGATGGATAAAATTTAAGATCAAAGCTTCATTATTTTCTTCAGCCAATTATCATGAAAAGTTTTTCAAGAAAATTTATCATTCAATTTATTTAGTTGATATTTTTAAAACCATTCATTTGAATTAATTTTGAATTAGTTATTTATTTATTTATTTTTTTATTTGTTTTTCTAATGACAATTCATCCAACTGAAGATGTAATAATAAGCAGTATGTACTGTTTTTGAAGTATTGTTATGCATAACGTTGAATGTGAAGTTAATAAGATCATACTTCTTATGTTTATTGTGTAATAATTAACAAGACACTGGTTAAAACGACTTATTAATAAATACAGCATACGTGTGTCAAAAGAATTTTTTTAGATAAAATCAAAAGGTACGCAATTACAATGCGGTACAATTCTATTGAAAATGAACTTTTTTTCACACTGTTATCAACTAATGTAAGCATTTATTTTTATACATTTTTCAAATTAGAATGCCTTAACGCTTCACAAAAACTTAACAAACGTAACATCTTAACTGTTTACAAGTAAGTGTAGTAGACGTTTATAATGTTGTAACTTTGAAACTAACAGTAATTAAATAATACCAAGACTATCAATGTTTAATATGTATTTTCATTGTTGGCTTGTTTTTTTTAAATTCCGAGTTAATTCAACATTGTTGCTGTCCCTGAAAAATTTATGTTCATTTTAACTTTGTTTTTGAGCTATAATAATGAATTTGCAATCTGTTCTTACTTTGTTCATTTTTTGAGCTTGTTTTACTCGTTTTCATGTGTAATAAAGTTTGCATGTATTTTTTATTTATTATAAAACATACAGATGAACAGTTAATTTTTCTTTTTTATCCTCTCTTAGTGTACGTACGTGTGTGAATATTACACACATGAACATATAATAAAGGAGTCTGAACAAAACTACTTTGCTATCAGATGTCAAATAATATTACGGTCGCACGCACCATTCATTTTCATTACATACACACTATACATGTGTGTGTGCTTGCTCAAATATAATATACACATGAGTGGGTGCATTATTTAGCACGAAAACCGCTGCAATGAACAAGTTCATCCCGTAGGTGTGTTTGTGGGAGATGAAGATGATAAGCGGAGGACGGGCAAAAAGGTTTCCGCGAGAGGTCACCGAGCTGCATCCAGCAAACGATATCTGTCCACTAATATTTTTGCCCCTGTTTATATCGCAAGTGAGCTCCGCAGTGCAGTGTAGGTACGCCGCCAGAATTGTGAACACTTGTTTACATTGATAATTGCAGTATATCAGCTACGGCAAAAATAATGCTCATACAAAAAGAATTCCATACATGTGTTTGTCCATTGAATCATTAATTTTTTTTGACAATTTGCATTCTTTACAGTTCAAAAACATTATCTCATGAACAAGAAACGGGTCAAACTGTCTTAGCAACGTCCATAAAAGTATCATTAATCTATTTATAACAGCACTTTTGATATGAAGCTTGTAAAAAAAGTTACAAAAAACACTTTTCAAAAATCCGAGCTTCCAACGAATAATTTCTGGCTACACCAATAACAAAGGCTAAATGTATAAACCTTGAATATATTCTTGAACACACGCGCGCTCACGCATAGCTATGCGTTTTTATATAAATTGCATTTTCTCATTTAAGTAGGCTAAACTAAATATTTATTTTTTGCACGACACTAATTTTTACTACAATATTATAACATTTAGTCGCAGCAACCCTTAATCGAGATACCAGGCATGATGGCCAACATTTTCCAACGTCAACTTGTGCAATTTAATTTATTTGAAGCAAAAAATTCGTACTGCAAGAATATCTTCATTTATTTGGGAAAAACAACAAGAACGGGTCGCAATACCTAAAGAGATGAAGAATGTTTGAAAATGAAACTGGAAGATCCAATAGATTATAGTGCCATGTTATCTAGACAGAAATGGTTTCATGTACAGGAGGTTGATGTATGATGATTGAGATTTCTTCTCTAATTCCGCCAACTTCTTAACAGAAGGAGCCAATATCTCTGTATGTCCCTTGTACTCAGATCCTGCGTATGTGTATTAATATATTGTATTGTTCACTTTATATCTGCATATATTTGTAGGTTTTTGTGTGTGTGTGATTATCTGATTAGATGATCGAGGTACACATATTAAATCGATTTTGAAAGAATTTTGTTATAATATTAGTTTTAGCTAGAAGTTTTCATAAAATAATATTACAATGAAAATACAATTAAACTTAACCGTTTCACCGAACCTAATATTATTTGGTCGCCAATATATTTAGAGCATCTGAAAATCAGGCTCTAAAAAGCACAGAATATCTTATATAAAATACAAAAATAAGATTACATCTTGCCAAAATGCTTGGACACTTAACAGTTTAGACCGCTAAAATGACCGACTTTGAATTATTACAAACAACATTAATTGTAAAAGAAATTTTTTAGTTTTATTTTTTTAAAATCAAATCGTTCAGTTAAAATAACTTCATACAACAAAATGTACAAAGTTTATGATTCCCTCCAGAAACAAACGTGACAAAATTTTCAGACTTACAATGTACATTTATAATATATAATTTGGTTATGTGGACAAACAAAATATACAGAGCGAAAATGATTTGATTTAATGAGCTGAATTTCACCTGTTACACTCTTTTTCTGTCCATATGTCACCTTCCCATCAAATTCACTGCATTCAATTTTCAAAGATGTGTCTGTCTGATCAATTGTCACTCCAAGGTGTTCCTCAATGTCTGATAAAAACTGTTAGATGATTAAATGACATTTTTAGTCTAAACTTTTGAAACAATGCAAAACGACAAGTTCATATACTAACTTACTTAAAATAATTTCTCAACTTAAAAAATTAATTTTATTTAACGCCTTCCTCACTCAGTTAATTTTTTTGTTTGGTGAAGAAGGAATCTAAAATCTTACAGCACTAACACACTCCTAATCACTAAGCACATGATTACATGGTTGATAACTTCTAACTTCGTAGCTAACATTATAAACCACTACTCCACTCGATATCACTTCTTAACAAATCACTCCACTATTCCGCTCCAAATTTATTTCGAATGCACAGTTTCACGTTATCATTATTATTATGGCCTATCAAAGTTATTAAAAGACTTCACTAAAATAGACTTTATTGATACCTAGTGAAATTGTACGTGTACTTCTATGGCGTGAACATTCTTTCATAATAAAAAGAGGCGTGCATATATATGAGTGTGCGTCTGAATCAAACACTGTATGCTGGTCTACATATTGTGCTGCATTGCATGTTTCAATATGTGCGTGATTTTATATTCAGACATCTTGGGGATGCTTTGCCATGTTTAGATGGAGCATGAACGTATTTATGAATATTTAGTGACAGAAAAGTTTTATTTTTTGAAGTTTTGAAAAGAATTTATAAAAACTTTATATACAATCTTGAAAAGGATTTATAGAAAATTTCCATTATCAGCTAATAAAATGAAATCTCAGATTAAAATTTGTATTGTATAGCAGATACTCCAGATAAATCTCCAAGTGACATACCTGGGGTTCATTGTACCAAATGCAACATCCGCCCTCGTCTGTTAGTCTCGTGTTGTAACAACCCTTGCCTCGAGATGAACAGTTTGAATGGTACCACACCTAGTTTCAGCATTGTATGATTACGCAAAACATACCACTTACTATTAATCACATTTTATTTTGATCTTGTTTTAAAAAAGTAACAAAAGTTTCTAAGAATAGACAAACTTACTTTTTCTTTTACAACTGACACAAGTGAAATTGCTAGACCCATCCTTTAAAAAGAAAAAAAATATTATTATCGATTAAATTATTTATAATAATAAAGCCAAAGTATCACTATTGTAATCCTTTATCTTATGCATGAATCAAACATGATAAAATATTAAGTAAAACACTCCATGTCGTCAGACAGCTTATGAACAGACCTTTCAGCTCTTCCAACTCTTCCAATTCTGTGCACATAATTCTGTTTCTCATCAGGCAACGTTACATTTATAACTGAACATTAATAAATCAATTTGGTTATAAGTTCATGCCTTTCAATAACTCAGTAATTTTTTAATTGAGAAAAAAAATTAAAATTTTATAGAAGCAAATTGCTGAAAAAATTCTTCTGAAACGTAATAATTTTAAATTATGGTACATGTGGTGAGCATCTGGCAGTCTCAGAAACAGACAAACCACCAGCGAACATGTGTCAACGAAGGCAGCACATATTCATGTCTACATAGTCATGTTCATGTCTATGAAGTCTTAAAAAGCACTTACTAGAAGGTAGTAAAATAGACAAGATGTTTTAAACTTATTGATGAACGAGCAGAAAGAAAACACAAAGGAAAGTTGAATAGAAAAAACACAAAGTAAAGTAAGCGTTTTATGGATTAGTAAGGCATCCTATTGTCAGAAAATTATAGTTGAGAATGAAAAAATAAATGTCTGAACCATATGGAAGTCCCGACACGTCCAAGCCACGAGCAGCCACGTCTGTACAGATGAGAAACTTTACATCACCTCTCTGTCGACAAAATATGTTCATAAGGTGAATAAAAATTATTGAGATGCCATCACTGCACGTGAAATGTCGACAGTAAATGCTAAATATTTATTACTTTGAACATCTCTAAATTGTCTCTTCTTTCGTTTGGCTTACGATCGCCGTGCAAACACACGCATGAAAACTGACTGTTTCGTCCCTTACCTTTTCAATTTAGATAATTAGAAAAGCAAATTAAATTAATTTGTATTTTTTGTATCGTACAAATTAAATAGAAGTGGAAAAAAACTAATTACGGAAGGATGTTAACCTCCGCCACTTTTAATGAGGTACTCCTCCATGTTGTCACAATCAACTTTGGTCCGGCAAAAGATGATGGCCCGATCCATTTTTTGCTGCTGTATTGCTCTCACAACGTACTCACCCTTCAGCAATTTTACTGCTTCAGAGAGCATTTCTGCCGTGCGATTGTTACGACTATGATTCATTGATTTCACACATCATTCAGATGCAAAATTGTTATTAACAAGTCAGTGAAATGAATTGCAAGAAAACTCTCTTTTAAAGTCATATAAAAATAAGTTGAAAACATCTGAAAATAGAAACCTGGCGTTTCGATGGATGGATTCAGTGCATCTTTACTATGTACTTCATCGGTTTTTATGTGATTTTTTAAGGTCTTCCATGTAGTGTCCGTTTTTGGATCAACCATTAAAACCTTTCATTACGACGTTGTCAAATAAACTTTCTTTTAAATAAATTTTCTGTAGCTGCCTCACAAGAGTTAAAGCATAAATACAAAACCAATTAAATGTCAGTGCTTAGCTGAATAAATATTCAAGATCTACATTTATTTAGTACAATAAACAGATATACTACAAACGGCTTTAAATTTTTCACCTACAAAATCATTCAACATAGTAATCTGAAAAATGAACAACGTCATATAATATATAGCAGGAGAAGAGAATGAAAAAATCTGTGAACGCACCACATGATGAACTGTCTCAGGTACGCTATCTTGTCCCTTCAAATCAATCCAGGTAGGAAAATGCATCAATTTATCCTGATCAAGCAAACGATTATTTGCTAACTCAATTAAGTATTCAATACAGGCAGTACCAATTTTATAATTCAAAACAGTTACGAATTTTTTTAGTGGAATGAACAAGTGATAAAAAATGAAAACTGACAGCAAGTCTTTTAACATCTATTGAATGCAAAGTAGCGGAGCAGACTATCATCTGCAACCTTTTGCCATCTGCTGACACTTGTGGGATTTGTTTGTGCATTCGAGATATCAAATCACCATAGCCTGCTGACAACAATCCATCCTACAAAAATAATGCAAAAAATCTTTTGTCAAAATCTAATAAAACATTGCATAGAGGGCATATTATTTGCCCGCAAGAAATATTTTGCTTCGTATAATTAACTTAAAAAAACAGCAATTTCGTCGCAAAATGATTTTGAATAAGTTGACAGTAAAGTTGTTGCTGCAAAGTCTTTCTAGAGCTTAATATACACAACACACAGTATATTAATGTTACTTTAAAAAGCATACTTCATACTCCATTTTAAGCTGATAATTCTAAATATAATAACATAGAATAATTGTTATAAACTGAAATTATAAAATAAATTAGCCTTTTTACTGCTCAATATAAACAACTAAAAACTTGAATATACAAAAAATCAAGTTTTCGATTCTATTCATAAAATGTATTATCTCATAACGTATATTGTTCACTGACGCATTCATCTAGAATGAAGAACTTGCAAGAAGATAGCAACAGTCTCTCAGTTGAAATTAAGTCCTCCAGTCTGCCTGGAGTGCCCACCACAATGTCCACCTGAGTATCAGAAGCAAGTGTCATCAATGTTTTTAATAAATAAATTGAAATAAAATAAAATTATAATAATAAACTAACTACACTAATCTAATCATTAACTATATTGCTTTATTCTGATACACGTGAAGACTCAACGATCATCTGAAAACTTACAAATATAAATACATGTTCAAAAAGTTACCGTTATTTATTAAATTTTAAAGTTTAAATTTTGAGTAAAAAAATTAGGATAATATGATAAACATAGGACCGATTTCCTCCGTTTAACGATATGTTCCGTGCTGCATAATTAACCAAAAAAAGTGAACGAAACATAAACGTCCGAAAGTTGCCGAGTTCCGCGCCAAAACACGCTGCAAGCAATTTGCAAAGTTTGTTAGGCAACAAAACGACGGTTGAAAATTAATGAAATAAATTATTAGCTAACATTAGAAACTATATTTGCAGTTGTAATTTCCCAGAAATATAGCACTCGTATTACATACAGACAGACAGCAAATAAAGACATACCCCCTTCATGAGAGCATCAATTTGGTCCTTGGCACTTGCCCCACCGACAACAAGCAGCTCTCTGTCATAATGTACGATAGTTCGCAAATCATAACAACAAGAAGATTTAGTCTATCAATGAGTTTATTGTTCCGTGCAAACACTTGAGCTGATATGTTAAAAGCTCAGGTTGGTATTCAATACGATGTGAAAATTTCGTAGGTTATGTGGAAGGCATACATTTGATGAAAATTTTTCCATAAAACCTGAGTAGCTATGCTACTTAATTTTTGATTTTCAATAAAGCTAAATTTTGTATGATGCTTTAAAAAACAAGTGTAGAAAGTTTAAAATTTATGAAATTATTCTTTCCAAACGGTATGTTAGGTGTAGGCATTTTAAACAAAGCAGCCTCTCAAATTTACTCATCATGATGTAGCAAGATTAAGTGAATTTAAAGAGTTTTACGAAAATATGCATCCAAGTGACTCCTGTATGTTTAGACAGGCCGTTTATAAAAACAAACAAACAAAATGATTACATTATTTTGCGAGCCGATCGATTTTTTAACACAGCATTCCAAAATGAAAAAATTTATCAAAGTGAAAACTTTTGAAACGTGCCAATAATTAGACAGATTTTTCATATATAAATTGATAACTGGTTTATAAATAATTATCATTATGATTAAATCAATTATTGAATTTTTGAGCGAATTCAATATTAATATTTAACATTGTAATTATTTTATTTTCGCTACTAAAGATACTTAAGGCTTAACAGCCTTGAACAGAAGTCTGGAGTTGAACTAAGTAACAGTTTTCTAATGTACGCATAGATTCACACCGGAGAAATGGGAAAACCAAGCAAAATGCTTACATTATAACAAAACCGATGGTCTCAAACGATTGCTTGCCGACAAATAAATTCTCAATTAAACCACTTTTTAAAGAATATACACAAAAACTAACCTTAGCTCAGTGGACAACTTTTTTTTGAAGTGCTTGATTTGGTTGAAGGTCTAAAAATTAAATTTACAGTCAATTTATGCAATAGGAGGAAATACGATTTTCTTCAGTAACAAAACTGATATTTATTATTATTCTATATAATTAAAAAAAAGCTCAGTCAAAACGTATAAACGTTTAAACGTATTTTGTAGGTAGAAGATGCTCATTTCTAATAAATACTATATACCAAAACACATAGGCGTCAATGCTAGCTACAAAATATTGATGATAGTAGAAATAAATTAAGGCAGCTAATATTAGACTTAATTTGATCAGAGTTGGACAGTCAGCCAAGTTCGCTCAAGATTATAATTATATATCATTGTAAACTTTACGTTAACGATAATTTTTAAAGAACATTACTCGATTAAAAAAACAATTGTAAATGTTCAACAGCATGTACAAGTACCTGTTCTGCCAATTCTCTTGAAGGCTATAATAAAATTTTAAATAAAGTGTTAATGTTCATTTACAAAAACGAGAAGAAAATGTTAATAAAACGAAGCAGCTTATTTTATTTGATCATATTAAGCCATTTTAGAGCAAATATAAGAATCATAGAAAGGCATCACATTCACCTCCACACTTAATGTAGCACCTCAAAACACTCCGCTCACATGGTTTCAGAGGCATCAAATTATTCGGCATCACCTAATCACTTATCATCTCACGCATCAAATGTGCAGCTCCCTCCTGGTCTGGTTTTGCTACACAACAACAACTTCAACAACTACAATCTCTCATCAAAAAACTAATCCGCTTCAACTATCTACTTGCATCATATTCTACCGTCACTCAGATATTCAACACACTCGATTCAAGACTGTTCAAGAAAGTAGAAAACAACGACAACCATGTCATCCATTCTCTACTACCACCAATCCAAACTACTACACACAACCTTCGTCAATGTAAGCATAACTATCAAGTCGCCACTCAATCCTCATACCTTCACCACAAGACACCTTGAATATGTTTGTCATTTATTCAATTTTGTCTACTCTTTTTTCTTATCGATCACTTAACTTAGTTAACATAGAAAAGCATTTTTAGCAGCACAAAACCCAAGAATGCCGTGAATAACTTGGTTAAAAAATTTATTATAAAAAAAACAACTTATTATAAATACAGACTTCAATTATGATAGCGTATGGGGCGTTGGGCTTTGCAGCTACTGAACCTTCTTTGGAGCCACCTGGAGATGTAAAATGGTCAATTGTTGAAACGATTTGTTGAAATTCATCTGACAAACTTATCTCGATATAACAGACTGGGTGGCAAAATATAATGAGTTTGCCCAGATTCCATCGTATCGTATGTTAAAATCAATAAGTGATAGAAAAAATAGAATTGCTCAGTCAATTATGAGTATAAGTTTGCTTTCCAATAACCTGATTTATTAATCTAAAATAGAAAATCCAAATGAGTGAATAAAGAACATAAATAAAATCAATTGAAAAAATATGAAATATTACAGAAATTATAAATGAATAACCAACCTAAAATAGAAAAATTAAATTCCAGGATCGTTTACAAAGCCAACAATAAAATATTACCACGTGCAATAATAAAATATGACCACGTGCTATTTGCATTTATATATAAGATGATACCAAAGTAATGAAACCTAATTTACAAGCACAGAATAGAAATAGATAGATAATTATATGAAATATAATTTACATGAGTTTGGTTAAACATTATACATAATGGTTAAACATTATACATAATCATCCTAAGCATTTTTAAAGGCATTTATTCTCAATCCAAAGCTACGATTTGCCAGGATCCCTCCTCAAATTGTCCTGCAATCTTAATACTGTTGAGGATGATTGCAATGCCAACACAAACACAAGTTAAAATGAATAAGCCACCTGCAAAACATAACCTGAGGCAGTAGAGTTGACAACACAGTCCCTTGGTGCATCCATTAAACTCACAAATCCCTCCTGAACGTCATTAAAATAAAATTCAAATGTTGAAAATATTTCTGTCTCAATACCAGAAACAAACATCACTCATCAACTCCATATTTAATGAACATTTTACAGGGGAGTACCAAATTCAGACTAGCATAAACCAAAATTTAGAACTCGTTTAAAAACCTTAGGCAGGTGCGAGAACCGGCTGCCACCAAAGTTAAATTTCATCTCTGCATTCTGTTTGGGAAATTTTCAAACTCTTTCATCAAACAATGAAAAATAAATGAATATCTCAAGTTACATCAAAAAACTATTAGTGCTATTGAATAGATTACAGCAAAATAATCGCACATAATATGTAAAAAGCGAACATCAAGCGTATCTCTGTAATTGTTTATGATGGGATGTACATTGTACATATGAAGAGAATGTTTCAAAATTAATAAACTGCAGACAATACTAAAATGTTTACAATATCTCCAAAGCATAACCTGATTCCATTACTCCACCACTCCCTAACCTTACTAAATATAACCAGAGATATTTCTATACTCTCTTGAATAATATGGTTGCTTTTCAGATTAATAAGCAATAGACTAACCCCTTATGCAAACATAGAAATTTAAACACGAATCTGACATTTCTCGTTTGCTAGAGTTTTAGTGATAAAAGAAAATGAAAGCAACCTTGAGGCAGACAGCAGCGTAAAAAACTGAATGACGTAGATTTGGAGGTATATCATAAGCCTTGCCAAAGTCAACACCTATCAAGTTGAAACTTTTCAACATTATTTTATGAAACTTTTTTTTAGTTTAGTTTTATAGTGGATTCATTCATTAAGTGTTCAAAACTACAAAATTCACATTTTAAAATTTCTAACCATTTTTGGACCACTTGATTGTGAAATTATCCAAATCCAAATAGCAGCCTATTACATCAGACAAACCAAAACTCTGAATAAATTTAAATATATATAATTTAATTGAAATAAGTGAAAAAATATAAATTAAAACCGCCTTATAAATTTTAAATAATTTTGATAATTCGCCCATGAACTTTGTTTAATTTCTAAAACTGAATTTCCCTGCAGTTAATGTTAGTGGATAATTTAATATGCTTATGATAAGCTTTAACTGCAAACAGACAGATGATGCCAGTTAAACGGTGCATTAACTTTCATAAAAAATAATGTTATTTATTTGTTGAAAATGGACTAAAAAATGAACCTGACCTCACCATAAGAGTCAAATTGTTTTCCAAATGACTTCTTGCCGGTTCCTCCGTAACCGAATCCTTCCCTGTCAGTGCCAAGATCAAGAAAAGCATTCATTGTTGACCAACCAACTCTGCACAGTCCCTCATCTGTCACTGTGGCCTCGTAAAAATATTTACCTGTTTAAATGCATTCGGGGTGAACAATTAAAACATTTCCATGGTGGCTGAATGGTGACTTCCTCTCCTCATTACATTCCTTCACAAATTTTTTTCCTACAAAGCAACTCTCTGCAAAAACTCTTCCTCACAATGCGGTACTTTAATAAGCTTATAGTTCAACCACATTGCTTTCAATCGCAACTTCCCATTGCCATATCTATACATATACATGCATACGTGCATACTTGTGTCTGAAATTTACATCATTAATTTTTACACAGCTGTCAACTTTTTTAATACTTTTGAATATAAATAAAAATTAATTTAATGAACTTATATCTATATTTATTATATTTATTGTAATTTTTATTAATTTAATTTATTGAAACAAATTTTGAAAATGATAAAAAAAGTGTAAATAAAAGATAATTAAATGACAAAAATAGGCCTGCAAATAATGAAACAACCTTTAATGGAGACTCCCTTGTTGGACCTCGTGCCGTGCCAGCCTTGGAAATCGCGACTCTGACATACCAACCCTTCTTCAGTATCAATTGCTTCACAGTTGAATGAAATGTATGTGAATGAATAAAGAAGAATAAAGATTATATCATATTATATCATACACGCGTCAACAAATGTACGTACATACACTGAGATAATTTATTTCTTTAGCAGCCACCTGCTGGTGAACCACCAAAAATATCAATAAATTATTGCAACGAAGGTCAGTGCATTAGCAGTTTGTTTACAGCTTTCAGTTTTTTGGCAATCTAAATTCCACTTGCCATATAATATTTTCTCTCTCCAACCAAGTTCAAGTTCTACCTTCTACACATTCACACCTCCCACACCTTCACACATCCATATCTCCTACACAGTCACACCACTCACACATCCACAATCAATTTCTAAAGATCTCTTTTTCCATATACCCTTGAATTAATCATAAAGTTGTTTTAACTTATACCATGCAGTCTCCAACATGAATGTATCAAAACATGCAACTCACCCATAGCTGGCGTTCTGTCAAAAACATTCATCTTCCACTTAGTGGGAACTAACAAAAATAAAAGTTTAAACAATGATCAAGAAAAATGTACACAGAATATTGATTATTAATAAAAAATAAAAGAAACAGACTTGCTGCTGGTTTGTTCCCTTGCGATTTTTTTGTTTTTCCTTCTTGAATATCTTTAATAGTTTCACAAACGATTTGAATCACCGGCAAACAAAAGGCCTTAAAAAACAAAATGAAGTGATGGAAAAGATTATCATTGATAAAATTGATATAAAAATACCAATGTAATGAATCATAAATTAAAGTGATAACTTACTCCAGTCTTTCCACTTCCTGTTTCGGCAGCCTGTTAAAATAAAAAAAAAAACATTTGAAAAAATCTCACAATTTTTGCTGCGTCTATAGTGAAAACATTAAATATAAATCAATTTTCACATTATAATTTTTTTTTATTATGAAAAAATTCCAGTATAAAAAATTCCCGAATCCTACAAAGAGTGTTGAGACCAACCATCAACACATCACCTCCTCCTAATATCAAAGGAATGCTCTCTGCCTGGATGTCAGTTGGTAGGCTATTTTAAAAAAATAATTTACAATATAAAATAAGCGGTAATCAGGTCAGTTTAGTAAAACATTTTAGTTAATATTATTGATATGAACCATGACATACAAATAACTAAAACATGTTTAGAAAGTGAGTTTTTCAGTGTTATTCAGCTGTTTATTTTACATTACTGCAGTTTAAAAACCTTTAAAATGAGTGTCAGAATTTATTTTAAAAGGCCTGATTATATGGATGTTGAAGATCTTGAAAATGGCATTTGAGAAAGCAATTGATTGTTGATTGATGTCAAAGATATCTAAGAAGCTAGTTTGGTAAAATTTTATTAAACAAATCTCAATGGTGCTTATGAGATATATTCACAATTATTTATGAACAGTTTGTGTTGCATAAAAAGTTTTCTTTTCTGGGTTCCAATAAACAAACGAATACATTTCTGAATGACCATGAGCTTGAATATATTTCTAAATGATCATGAGCTTACTTAATTTGTTACCTTAATTGAAAAATCAACCATATCATAAATTTTCCATAGTTGTTTAAAGAATTAAAAATTTGAAACAAACATACTTCCAATCCATCTCTTCAACAGCTTGGGCAAGCTCCGACATCACGCCCATCTCTTCAAATAATAATACATTAAATGAAAAATTAAGTTTAAAAAAGATTTTTAAAAAGTTTCTTTTTTGTGTTTATAGGTCATTTAAAATTGAATTCCATGCCTTCCCATTTCCTATACTAAAATATAAACAAATAAAAACTTAAAATACAAAAATAAAATGAAAATGTTAGGAGCATGTTATGTGACATTATTATTAAATTGGTGAGAAGCAATTTATAGGTTGGATATAAAAATAAAAAGCTGAAAATAAATAAGAATCTTTTTTAGTTTTAAGGCATAATCAGTTTAGAGATATTCTATCAGACAATGACTTTCAAAGTAAGATCAAGTGTGTAAGCTGCCTTTCTGGCAGTCAGAAGCCCTTCCTTGCTAGATTGAAAACAAAAAATTGCTACTTGCTAAAATAAAACAATTAAATAGTAAAAATTGATGTTTCTTAAAATTTGAAACCTGTGTGCTGTACACTTTCCTAAAATTTGGATAACAGTGTACACCTCACTAAAAAGGTATAAGTAATGTATCAATAAAGATAATTTTTTGCTTTCCTAATTAAATGATGAACCACATAATGAAAATAAAATACAACAGGATGAATATTGTTTATAATTTAACAGATGTTCAAACATAAGAATCACACTTTGTGTGGTTTGTGGTCTGGGAAATGATTCTGTATTTTTTTTTATAAATTAATCAGTCATATAAAACTGCTTTGATGGCATTTTTCAGTTTTACATATGAATACTTACAATATTCACCAGAACCAAAATGACAATATAAAAAGATGTGCTTCATTTTATAAGTCTGCAGCAGCATATGAAAAAATAAAAAAGCAAATTTACATAATTTATAAAAAACAATTGCTAAGTTTATCTCATTCATTTTGTTAATATTTGAATCATTTAAAAAGTTGTTATTACACAGAATCAGTGTTGCCCAATCTTTACTGTAAAATCTAAAGTTCCTTATTTCTTTTTTGGACTCCTCACCACATCACATTTATGTCGAAGAGACCTGATTCTTTACTCATGTCACGGCCACCTTATTTTTATTTAGTGGATGATTGTTTTCCATTCCACGATTCCATTTTTAAATTCAGTAACAGAATTAAATTAATTTGTAATGCTGAAAAAAAATTAATAGGCCATCTGACTTTAATTTATTAATTTAAAAAATTTTATATCATATTACTTTTAAAAAAGAAAATTATAAAGTGGCTTCATATGTTTTTTAAATTTGAAACATTTTGCGTTTTGCCTCTATAATATTAATATAACATCGTATATAATATATATAATTATATAACAAATAATATAATTATAATTTAATAATATTAAAAAAAGAAAATTAAAGCTGTCACAAGGATTATTATTATTATTATTTGTGGCTGTTTTGCTTATTTTGCGAAATTTTACAAAACTCAATAAAAAACAACAGCAACAACCTTCGAAGGCAGTCATGACGAAAACGCGAAAAGCAGAAATAGAAGCTTTTAAAAAACAAGTGCATAAGGAGAGAACATGACAACGAGGGATAAGTTGGGAATAACACGTTTCTAAAAGAAAAAAATTGAGTTTGACCCATGGATATATATAATATATATACATGGTTTGACCTGCTCCCTGATTTTATTTGCTTGTTTCTGATTTTTATCACTTATCTTTTTTTCTAATTACTGGTTTAAATCAACAGATTAAAAATATATTAAATAAAGCAACGGTTATGAAAACAGCATCATTTTAGTGACATTTTATTTGAAAATTTTGGATTATATGTGGTTAAACCATATTTGACAATTATGATATTCAAACTGGTACAATCGATTCATTAGATATGTTGTTTTAATAGTTACATCCTAAATTTTACATCTCAATAGTTTTGGCTTATATACGTACATCTTTATATACTTGTAAATATATATATATATATATATATATATATATATATATATATATATATATTTATTTACAAGTGTTGGTAATAGACCATAATTTTTACAATATTCTATAAATTCTACCGAATGTTTGGCGTTAATATGTTTGTAGTTCGTTTTTTCGATTTTTCTCACTAACCTGACACCTAATTCGCATCAAAGTTCAATTTTACAACACCAAAGTTAATTTTTACAACTTCAAAGTTAATCTTGACAAAGTCAATATTTCCCTATATATACAGCAAGGAACACTGACGATGATTCATTTGGAATCGAAATATGGCCTTATTTGCAGCATGAATTTGAAAAATAAGTTTATTTTGAATTTTAATAAACTAAACGTTCACCAAAAAACTTTAGTGAGAAAAATCGAAAAAACGAACTACAAACATATTAACGCTAAACATTCGGTACAATTTATAGAATATTGTAAAAATATATATATATATATATATATATATATACGTTTATATAACAATCAATCCATCAATCAATCAATCCATCAATCAATCAATCAATTAATCAATCAATCAATCAATCGATCAATCGATCAATCAATCGATCAATCAATTAATTAATTAGCTTGTAAAGCGCTATTTCCGCGATGTTCAACAGCGCTTCTCAATGAATTTTGCAAACAGATGTGTCTTGAAATCCGCTCTGAATTATGGAAACGAATTAGTCAGAAAAGTGGGCAGAGATTTCTAAAAGAAAGGGTCAGAAAAAGAAAAAGCATATTCAGCAAAAGAGTATTTAACACGAGTTAAGAAGAAGCGAAAACAAGATGACGATCGTAAACCGGGGCGTTTAGGTTCAATTAATATATCTGATACTTAGGAAATAATTTAGATTGAGACTTATACATAAATGTGCAAATTTTAAAAATTATTCTATATTTTATAGGAAGCCAGTGCAAGGGAACAAGATATAGAGATTATATGAGAAAAGAAAGGGACACGAGCAACTAGACAAGCAGCAGAGTTAAAACACTGGTTTGGCGGCTTCAACATTATCAATTTTATTTAAAGTATAAGTCTAAAATTTTTATTTTATTTTATTATTTTATATTATGTATATATAGACAATTAAAAATTGTTATAACTGTTATTTTGTTTTTCCATTTTTGCAAAGTTTTTTGTTATTCCATATTTTTTTAGAAATTTCTTAAGGCTTAAAAGTTCGTCGATGTCGTTAAGACGTTAACCAACCGTCCAACTCTGTGTGATCTCATACAGCATTAATATTAATTAAATCCATCCATTTTTTCATAATTTTGCAGCCATGGCAACGAAAGTCTGCGGACTGTTATCGTTATTTTGTACGGTAAATCTTATTTGCAAGTTACATAATTTTCAGAAAGTTTTTGATTCTTTATTTAAAGATTAATTTTTCTTTCCATTCCTTTTTTCTAGTTTTCACTTTCAGTCTGCTGGAGGTGGATGGCTACTCAGATGATATCGTTATTCTCAGAAATTCCAAAGACCATTCCTTAATCACCAACGCATTCAATGTAGATAAAATTGTCTTCAACAGCAGCCATTTTGAGGAGGTACTGGTACTCTTTCTATTTGAACCATCTGATGACCGAAATAATTTCACTTCCTCCTTCTCTCTTAGCCAAGTTCTACCACGTACCAGGTTAGGTGTCAGAAAGTAATTTTCAATTTTTGCACTCTTTTTTAGGTTATTGTAGTATAATGTAAGGCTAACCTTCTCAAAACCAGAGATCTGGACAATCAGTTTTATAGTTGTTCCAGGTTTTAGTAATTAATTATTAATTTAATTGGAATAAAAATAATTAAAAATTTATAATTTATTTAATTGATACGAATTGAGATTAATAAATTAATATTCATTGATTGGTTAGTTTATTTTACAATTAATAAATTTTATTAACATTAATTTGTAGATAATTTTTCAATTGAAACTCATTTAGTTTAGAACAGTTCTATGAGTTTCAGTTAAAATATTAGCTGTTAATTATTTTCAATAAATAATTATTTATTATAATTAATAATATTATTTATCCACACCCCATTACCCATAAACGTTTTTGTTTCATATTTTAATATTATCTTTTATGAGCTTATTAGTTACTTACTCTGTTTTTAATGTTAAAATGTGTTTTCCACTCTTAACCATTATTTGAAAAGTTACTTAAAAAGTCAGATGATTAATTTTTTTCACAATTTTAATTTTTACAGATTTTATTTTGAAATATTCTCCAAACATTTTTGTAATTTTTGTTAAAGATTCCAATAGAACTTTTTTCATTTGATAAATGTTTCAGTTGAGTAATTATAACATTTAACAGTTATCATGTAAATGTGGTGAATGGAAGTTTAAATTTCACAATAACATTTGCCAATCGATACCACGTTGGAAGATATGTTGTTCATTATGTTGGTGGACGAGAGCAGAGAATCTCTACAATACTGATCAGTCAATATTTTAATAATTTATTTATTAACTAAAAAAGGAATTTCAATAACAATAATAATTGTATTGCAGACTATGTTTCATTTAAAAACTTCAAATGTGTGGTGGAGACTATGATGAATTACAACATGTGGATTGGATACATTGGAGATAATTCAACAAGTTTCTATGTAGAATACAACAAAAGACAGGCAGATTACAGTAGGAATGACTCTTCTGTAGATTTTCTTCAATGCCACAGTGATCTGCCATCCATTTTTAAGTGTGGTTATAATTCATCGAGTGTAAATCTGTACGATTATCAGATGAACTTGTTTTTAAAACATGAAAACAGAGAACTCCATTTGAAGAATATTTCATGTCACTATAGTTAGTAATTGTCAGTCAAGTGTGTTTATTTACTGACAACTGTTATTAATTTCTTACCCATTGCAATAATATTTTTGTGAAGTTTGATAAATACGTAAAACTAAGTATTTAGACAATATTTAAAACATAGTTTAAATTTCTAGGTTTCTTTTATTGAAATATTTAAGATTGGTTACACTTTGTATGAGAAAATATTTGAAAAAAGTTTAAGTTTAATTCAGTTATTTGATCAATGAGTCTATAGCAACGACTTTTTCAGATCATTGATTGGTTTAGTTTATAAAAATAATTTTATGTTATATGTATCCTTTTTCGTTTTGTCTTGTATGCTAGATGTACCTGAAAATATCCTATTATACCTTTCTGTCTCTCAGCTTTTAAATTACTCCATGGTATTTTTATTAGTGAGAATCATCTCGGCCAATTTTACAATATTGGTTTCTTCCATTTATTCATTAATTTAAATTCAGTCTGTGAGTGTTATAAACTTGAATGATAGGATAGCATAGATTTTTTAATAGATAAATAATGATCGTACCTGGCTGATTCATCTTTTAAATTTTGAACGTTATTAAACAATGACCAACCTCTACATGGATAGTTAAGTTAGATTGCACAATTGATGAATTGATACTTAAATTAATTGCAGATGTGAAGGAAATAGCATTTGATTGTCTAAACTTCTTTCCAGTAGTCTTTCGTGTAATTTTGCTCGTTGTTTTCTCTTTGAAAGGTTGATTTTTTTTATTGTTGTGCTTAATTTTTTGTCTCACCTAACAATGAATTTTGCAGCGGTGATCATAGCAATTCTTCTGGTGTTGAAAATCTGCGCAGGTAAGTATTTAAATAATAAATTTTTAACGAATTAAATATAAATGCACTTCAAATTTCGTATTGATCTATTTAAAAACACAAGAGAGTGTTAGATTTTAAAACGTGGATTTTAATAGCGTTTTACGATTAACGTTCTTTGCGCATCGAGTAGTCGGGTGAGAGTTGGCAGGAAATAACAGAGATCCTTTGTATGAAGTGATATCGGTTTTAAAGGGCTGCCGTAAATTATTAAAGTATCAGTTTCAAATTGATAACGCGCGGAATAAAGAAATAAATAGTTAGATTTTAACAGTAATGAGACTGAGTAATGAGGGAAGGGGGTTCGGAAGCAGAATGTAAGCTTGGAATGACACATGGTAATCCACAGCTGTCGCTAAATTTTGAATGTTTTTTGTAATAAAATCTTGTTTTATAAAAACTTGCAACACGCCTGCGTGCGCAAAAAAAGGAATTATAACTTTCTATTTATTCTGCAGATGTATTAGAAAAGAAGAGAAAGAAGTCCAACACTCCTACGAACTGAAATATCATTCAGTGGCCCACTATTCAATCATGACAGCATGCATTCTTTTTTTACGGCTTTCTATTCAAATATATTTTTTCCTCATCATTTTTTTTCAGAGCAAATAGCACCATATTTTTTTAAATAACATTTTATTGTTGATTGATATCTTTATGAAAAAAAATTCAAAAAAGTGTTCTGAAGAGACTCTGTTTATTGCTAGATAAAACAATTTTAAAACAATCTGCGTCAGGTTGCTGTTCATTATGCTGCAGTGACACTTTGAATGGTGCTACAGAGATTAAACTGATTCATTTCTGCTTACATCAAATTAACTTGAATGATATGGTCAGATCAAATTCATCGCGTTAAGAATTTATGATGTGGTGTTGAATTGTTGAGCAGAATTCACTGCTTATAAAGCTAACAAAAGTTGTCAAAGGAATGTCTGTAAATAAGTTACTACTATTGAATTAAATAGCTAAGCCGTACCTGCGTGTTCAGAGCTCATCGCATTCAATATTGTTTATTCAGCTCCGTTGCACTTGTTAAATATGAACGTACATTAATATTGAAATTCTTTAAGCGTTCATAAAATGTGCATATTCATTCTGTAAAGAAGATTTGAGTAGAAGATTTATATAAAAACTACATAATTAGACGTTAACTTTGAAATGTTTAATTTGTTAAATAAGTTTGTTGGATGCCCATGTTAGATGCACTAAATGATATATACTTATCATGGAATGATTGTACCATATAAATGGTGTACTAAATATAAAATGATAGATCATGAATGGATTAGTAAATGTAAAACAATCGTTTCATAAGATTTAGCTGTATATATCTTATTTTTCTGACAAAGTATTTTTTTCTAAAACGTTAACGTGCAATAGAAATAAGTGAGGATGGGTCAAACGAAACGGCCAGTGGACGATCGGGGTGTTGGTAGCAGCACAACTGAGAGCATCCAAGCCACGCAACAAATGTTCTCCTCTCCAGGTTACTGAAATATTTTTCAAATCATTTTTATAAAAAGCCAAGCGTCAAGTTGATGGATAAGTTTGTGTTGTTTTATATGTTTTAAGACACGATCTTGTTAGTAACTTCTTCAAAAACCTTAAGTGCTTTAGATTTCTTTGCTGAATAAAATCTATCTAACAAAATATGATTCCTATGGCATATAAGTACAGTTCACATTTCACAGACCTCTTATTGATGATGCCAGCCACTGTAAGTTTTGCACGTATAGGTATACTCAACAACTCACTCATACATACATACAATCTTCAGTTCCATTCTGGGGAACAATAATGATATCAGCAGCAGGCTGCTTGTTCCTTCTCATTGTACTCTTCTGTTGCCTTTTGTTCTGTCTGTGCAGACGATCAAGCAAAAAGAAAAAGTTTGCTGGTCGGCCGGTTGGACTGACAGATAATTTGGACGCATTCAAGACAAAATCGGTTAGAGGGTAATGAATGTTTTAGCCTCGAAAGCAGCACCTCATTTAATACCGAAATTGATATTTTTTAAGACGTTAATGCAACCAGGGCTCGACGATCTTCCAGAAAAACAATTTGGAACATTACATTACTCTCTCGATTACAATCTTACAAAAAACATTGTTAGTAGTAATAAACGGACTATTTTTTAATTTTATGTCGTTAAAAGTTATCATAATTAATTTATTTTCATGCAGTTGGTTGAGTTCATTTTATAATGAAATTCCTCATTTTGGATTTATATAATTTAGTTTAAAACTCTTCAGTTGCACGTCGGAGTTATAAGAATTGATGACCTACCTGGCTCCATATTCTCTAAACCAAGCAGCACTTTTGTGCGAGTTCGAATACATCCTGAACTGCGAACGTTTGAAACAAAAGTTGTCAATCTCACAAGAAATCCTGTTTTTCAGGAAATATTTTCCTTTACAGTAAGCAATTTTTTTTCTTTTAATCAAGAACAACAAAGTAGAAGCCAATTGTCAGTTAATGTACCGACCAATTTTACGGCTTTAATCCTATTAAGTTACGTAAATTAAGCTTGCAAAGTAATAAAGAGTGAATTGCATCCTTGAAGATTTGATCATAACGAGTAAAGGCTTTTGTTTGGGTTGCAACAGCCCGAAATATATATATTGTTAAAATTAAAGTTGAAATTCCCTAAAATCCATGTACAAAAATTTGATGTTAAAACTTCTGCAGCACTCGCTCCACGTAAACAAATATTATTAAAATATGTGTAAAATAAATCTGGATGTGATATGTATGTTATATCATGAAAGTCAATGCAGAAATGTGCAACAGGCAAAAATTTGTCAACTCATTCTTTGAAAACCATGCCCACCCGCTTTCCACATATTATCTTCTAATTTTTATATTCAATAATGCACTTTTTTAAAGTAAGGCAATCAGTCACGTTGACGGTTTTTTTGAGAAGTAAACGTGTAGGTAAAACATTTTCAGGAATCCCCAATTTGTTTGATGTTTTCAATTAATATATTCCATCAAAAACTAAAATATTCATAGTTAAAGATTAATTCTTAGCAGTGTTTTTAGTGAATGCTGATGCTGATCTGTGCATATTTTTTATGTGGCTTGAAAAGTATAAAAAGATTCTTTGAGAATAATTAAAATTGTTTGTCACAGCAAAGCACGGAATGTTAACGTATGGAATAATAATAATAATATATGGAATGGTAATGCATGGAATGTTTATGTGCGGATTAATAAAGCATGCCTATAAATTTATATCAACCCGTGCAGATGCCTCCATCGAAGCAAGCGTCCTCAACTGTCGTCTTCTCCGTTTACGATTACCAGATGTTCACAAAACACAAACTATTAAGTCAACTGCACTTACCATTGAAGACGCTAATACTCGCCGATCTTGTAGAAGATTTTGCATTGTTGGAAGAGCCTAGTAAATTAGAAGAGGTCTTTTTTTACTTTATTGCGATCTACTAAGAAAAAAATCTATCGCACCGCAATAGACTGATAACAATTTCTTATACAAAAGTTTGCATTGGTTTCAAGAGAATAAATTATTGTTTATTTTTCGAAGTTGAATAACTGTTGAGATGTGAAAATAAATTTTTAGGAGGAGCAAATTGGCGACATTTGCTTGTCGTTGAAGTTTGTTCCAGCGCAAAACAAACTCCATGTCATTGTCATTGAAGCCAAAAATCTTCACAAGTGGTCTTCTGAGCTGAAAGGTTAAATTTGTTCAAATGATTTTATCCAAATGATTTGATAAGTATCGACGACCATTCTTATATATTTATATATATATTATATATATATATATATATATATATATAATGATTTACTGATCCAATTAACATTGGCAAACATTGACCATTATGAACAAATCTTACGAATAGTGACAGTTTAATAAAGAACAACAAACAAGTAATAACAGTTGTGAACATTAGAAATTATTGGCAAACTAACAAACAATGACGAATAGTGATGAACATTGAAGAACATTGAGCGATTATTATCAGACATTGACTAACAATGAATGACGAACACAAGCAGTTCAGGCTTGCCTGATAATTAATGAAAAAGTTTTTCGAACGCTCTTATCTTGTTCTTTTACGTCAATGCGTAAATAATAGAAAATTTAATTTTTTGTAAACAATAAACACTAATATAGAAAAACAATATCACGTGTATAATAGATATGTGTTAAATATACATACGTAGACACAACTAAGTCCATTTAATCATCGAAAACACTTTCAAAAGGAAATGCTTGTTGTTACAAAATAGAACAATTATTTATATTTGATAAGAAGGACGATGATTCACTTCTAGATCCTTACGTCAAACTATACCTGATGATGAATAAGAAACTGTTAAAAAAGAGAAAAACGACAACCATTGTAGCGACAGATATCAACCCATACTTCAACGAGGCCTTCGAATTCAACGTCAGTCTCGAAGATATAAAGGTTATATTCTGCCACCTTCTTTTAATATATATGTGTAATGTATATTTAAAAAAAAAATCAATAACTTAATGTAATTTATACACATGACACATAAAAAAATTTCATCAACATTTTTCAGAACTGTTCCCTGCTGGTCCGTGTTTCGTACAAAAGGTCGTTGGGAAGGTCCAACCACATCGGAGAAGTTTTGTTGGGGCTGGAAAAATTAGGAACTGGATACAAACATTGGACGGATATTGTCGCCACGCCGGGCCAGCCCTTTGCCATGTGGCATAACTTGAACATTTGTGAAAACTAACAACTATGCCATACTAACATACATACATACATACCAACAAGCATACTAACGATAAAAATAAATTAAATTCCATTTATGTACTGTACATAGAGACGCGTTTAATGAAATGAATTAACGATTCTCAATCAAAAATCTGTTGCAATAATTGATTCATAATTTGTATTTGTATTAAATATTTGTTGATCAAAATGGATTGCCTTTTAAAAATGTTATTAGATTTTCGTTGTATGTCCATCAAAGTAACAGTTGGTAATTGTTAATGCTTATTCAGTTTTATCGTTGAATTTATTTAAATATGACTCCCGTATTTTTTAATTAGTTACTACATTTTATTGAACTTAAATTGTCATTATTTCATCAAAACTTTTTTCTGCTTTAAATTATTTAACTTTTCAGCTAATTTTCTGAGTAGATTTTAGTTAGGTGTAAATAATCTCAGCTAACATCCTGCTCTTACCATTCATTCAACGAATTAAAAACGTTCTTTCAAAAAAATTCAACGTTTAATTTTGTAGTTTCATTATTTGCATTCTAAACGCTAACGATATAAGTTAATATTTGGCAATAACTTACCAGCATTGAAATCATAGGAACGCACAAATGATTGTGATTTATTTACTAACTCCTAATTCATCAGTCACTTTTTTAAGATATTTCATTTTTTTATCTCTCCTATATCATAAATATCTCATCAACTCAATATAACTTAGGCCACGTTCAGAATTGATTTTCAATTAGAAGGCGTTTGTGAATGTGATTCATTATTTTTCCATTTACAATAATGATCATTTTTAAAAACAACATCAATCACAATTTTATGATATGGCTTATGATAAAAAGGATCAAACACCAAATAACTTTTTAATACTCAGCTAATCTTTTCAATTATAACAAATAAACTTACTACCCGGCAAACCAACTAAACACTTGAAACGAATTTCATCTCGTTGAAAGTTCTCACTTTCAGGTGTACTGCAACACACTTGTTTAACGGCATTGTGTTGATATTTTAAAATACGTAATTTAATAATAATAGCATTAATAATAATAATAATAATAAACAATAGCAATGACAAAAACAATAATAATATTAAGTAATCGTCGTATCCAAATGCAGAGTTGTAGCAAGTACTGAACTTCAGTACTTAAGTAAAAGCACAAGCAACATAAAGAAAATGTTACTTGAGTAAAAGTACTTTTAAAAATTTATTTAAGTAAAAGTGGAAAGTAAAGACACTTTAAATGTTTTCCTGAAGTAAAAAGTATAGCCGATCAATCAAAAACTAAGTTATAGGTATTCTCATAAATCATAATATAATCATATATAATCACAATGAAATGAAAGCAATTAATTTAATGAAAGCTTTCGGGAGCACTTGAAATAAATGTTAAAAATGTTATTAAAGTCATTTCTTTCTTACCAGTAATAACACAGCTTATTAAATTCTACCCTACCACAACAACTTACATGTACGTATTCATAACTTAACCAATGAATTTTAACATCTCAAGTTTTCAAGAAGTTCTCGCACGGGAAGCAGCAATCAACGTTAATTTTGTGATTGTAACGAATGACTAAAAAAAGTAACGAAGAAAAAGCACAGCCGAAAAAAGTACTTTGTTACAAGTAGAAGTACTTATAATTTGTGTTACTACGTTACATTGGATAAGTACTTCATGAGTACTTTGTTACAACACTTCGATAGCGAGCAGCACTGTCCATATGCAAATTGGTGTAATTGTTGTAGTGTAATCATTCTTGTGATTGTAATTATTCTTTCGTCTGACTGTAATAACTTATTTCATTTCATTTCACTATCTAAACTTTAGCCTAAACATTCTAATCCGTATTCTCTATCTCATTCGCAATCAATGATACCTTTTTACGGAGTTTTTGTTAAATTACAAAGTTGTGGAAACACAAATTTCAATTAAATTTTATTTCAATAAAAATTTGTCTACCGACCATTTATAAGAAGAATCTAATTAGCAAATTTGACTTAATTTTAAAGAAACGTCGCAATGAAAAAGACAATGAAGCTTTGTTGCGATCACACCGATTTAATTAGGTAGGATCATTCATTACACAGAATAACAACGTCGACTTTGTACTGGTACATACGTTGACATTTATTATCCAATCAAAATGTATTACAACTTTTAATCCATTTTACTTTTATTCAAAACCTCTAAGCATATATTGAGATATTTATAAAATGAAAATGCTTGCCAAAATTTAAAGAATGCTCGTATTAAGTAAGCAGGGTGACCAAAATAGAACTCTGAAATAAATTCATCGCGAATGGCCAAAAACAGCAAACACAGTTCAGCGAGTGTTTAACACGAGTTAAGAAGTGAGAACAAAAACGATCGTAAAATTAGGCTAAATTACTGATAAGTATATGAAATCATTTAAATTGAGACTCATACATTAATGCGCAAATTCTGAAAATTCTATATTTTACAGATAGCCAATGTAAGAGAACAAGATATGGATATGAAAAAAGAAAGGAGCACGAGTAACCAGGTGAGCAGCAGTTAAAAGCTCTGCTTAGAGGATAGAACGTAGACTCTGGATGACCATTGTAGTTACTATTGTAATTCGCTCTACAATCCTACATAAAGCTAAAGTAACAAAATTCCTATACACACTCCGATCAACGAATCTCTCAGCACAACTTAAGAAAACTTTAACAAAAGTTAATTTTCCGATTTTTATTTAAACTTCATACCAGTTTAAGAAGTATTTTATTAATATTCAAAAATCTAGAAAACTACATTTCAACAACTATGTTCGGTAAATTACATCTAATTTTGCCAATTACAAACACAAAAAGTTTCCGAAAATTGAAAACACTAAAAGATAAACTATTTTGCAATTCAAGGCAAGGGAAATTTTTTTGGCAGATACATCATAACAATCGTTACATTTAAAACTCATCAACAAATATACCGGAATAAACTAAAAAAATTCATTGCTTTACTGAAAAAATAAATTTAGGGACATTTGATCACGTTAAGAAATACAATAAATCAATGCTCTTATTATATTGTACCATTTTAAAAGAATAGCTCATATGGCATCCTTACTCAACAATTGAAACGCTTTAAAACTAAAACATGTTTTGTTTCTAAATCTATACGATAAAAAATGGTAGCAATATGAATATGATATGATGGTCATGCCTCAACCTTAACCGTTGTAGGACCATTGACCATCTCAACTCCTTCACTCTTTATTCTCACCTGTCCTGGATCTTGTCTGTTGTCTGTAATGAATTTGGATTAACGAGTTACAAAATTAAACCGCGTTCATTCAATTGCAATGTACCTCTGTTATGCAGTGACAAGGAATTGGCGAACATCCTATTAATATTGTTATTGAAGACCCCTCCCCTCGCTCTGAAACTCCTCATCATATTCATCGGGTGGCCCCCACGTGCTCCAAATGTTTCATAATTCAACCTCCTTTCGTCCTTCCAGTCAGTTCTTTGCCTTAATATTAAATATTACCATCAAATAGTTTCCAGGTCAACGTAAAGTCAAAGTATTATAGTTCAATTCCTAAGTTAAAGGTTCAAGAAAAAATTAAGCAAAAAAGTTGATTGCAAAGCATGATATGAACCACATGTATATTCGAAATAGTAAGCAGGTTCGCGATATGTTGTGGAAAACGTAGAACTGGAAAAAAGTTTAAATTTAACTGAGACTAACAAACTACCATTTTTTCAAAGTTGCACGAAATATATTAGAACATTTGAAAATCAAAAAGAAATAGGAAATGTCTGGGATGTAATTTTGAAATTTAGGCCTATAACAGAAACTTTTAAAAAATTAGAAAAGTAAAAATTATAGATTAGGCATCCGCTGAACCTGAAGAAAATAATTTGTCTTTTTCATCAACAGCTTAAAACAAATGCGACCCTTCTAGCGGCCGTAGAACTACCATCTCGTACCCATCCAAGCATGATATTGCATGCGGAATGACATGCGAATGGACCTTTTTTATTACGATCTTGTTGTTGTGTTACTTGCAGCTTCATCATGCTTCACCACATCATTTCATTTGTCAATATATATTTTAAACATTTTATTTTAGTAAGCATTTAGAAAAAAAACTCCTGCAATATAAAATCAAAGTAAACTATAAATAGGAATTTAACTTCAACTGTCATTGAAAATAAGAAATGACCCTTCTGTATTAAACATGCGAATGATGGCAAGCAGAACAAATGTCAAAAACAAACATACCCATTGTTTCTATCATATGAGACACAGCTGATGTTGTCAAAGAAGGATTTGTTCTTATTGTAGTAATACACCTCATCTGCTTGGCATTTCATTAGACCGTCTCCATTTTTAACGTCCTCATTTTCATTGTGGCTCACCGCTATCAAGTATCAAGTATCAAACTGTTAACACTTTTTAACCAACTTTAATGTTTGTTCAAGGTGTTTATACTTTCCCATGAAACATTCATAACAATTTGACAGAATACAATGGTAAGCAATACAGTTGGACTTGAAAAAAGCAGTCTTAATTATATTTTAGAACTGGGAATAAATATTAAATATGATAAAATTGAGATTTTATAACATACCAACAGCTAACTTCTCCCTGATTTCTTTTTCAATTTCGACTTTATCAAATTGAGCATTTGCACTTTCAAAATCAAACTCAGACTCAAATTTAAGGGAAGGTTGTCGTGAATTGGATCTTCTGCCTCTGTTCCATCCTACCTCTCGGTTGTTCACGTAGAAATTATTTCCTGCATAATGTTTTTGTTTTAACTCTAAATCTCATTATGATTAAATAATGAAATTAGGGAAGAAAGTATCTACCAAATCTCATGAAATATCTTTGAACGGGCATCCATGGTTGGCCTCTTGGGAAATAAGGAGCCTGATTGTTGAACCTGCCTCGATATACTCTGCTCCCAAACCTCACACCAACTCCCATCCTACCTCCTCCTCCTCCTCCTCCTCCTGATGTCTGTACACTCTGATCCATCATTAAAGATTTCTGATTGGTTGGCATTTCTGAAAAGAAATTCAAAAATGTTTGTTAGAACATCTCAAAACAATGTCAACCATTCATTTTTGTGTTCAGATGATGAAATGCTTAAACTAAAAATGCAAAAATTAATCTGCCAAATAAATTAATCAAATTCAACATATTTCACAAAATGAATGAAATAACTGCAGTTGACTTTATACAAATTTCATATGTTAAATGCCTCCAAATCTGCCCAGACAAATGTGATAAGAACATTGCACTGATACTATATAACATGGGAACATGGCTAACAAAGCATTTCTAATGTCTGAGTATATAAAAACAAACAGCATTATAAGGAAAAGTACACACCCAATGAATTTGCTTTCATAGGGGCTTTTGTCTTGTTAGTTGGAGACTTTCTGGCGAACAGAGAATTTCGAGCTCCTTTTTGGAATATCAAAATGTATTAAAATATTAAATTAGAAACTCATTAACTGAAAACATTTTGCTAACTCAATAAATCAATTAAATTTATAATGCAATGTTTTAATGCATTCCTCATTTAAACAACTGACTGGCTGCATGTCACAAACCAAGTAACCGAAAGCACATTAGAAATGGATTGAGAAATCTCCACAGGAAATAAACAAAACCATTGAAGTAATTCTTGATGAAAATTTAAAAACGTGAAAGAAGCATGTAAGTAAAAAAAAAAAAAAAAAGTGAATAGGTAGAAAGAGCTTTCTAGGTGAATATGTAAAAAAAATTGTTAGAAGTCTTTGCAACACTTGTAATAGAAAGTTTTTTTGAAAAAAGGAACATTGAACTTGACCAATGCCATGATACATTCACCACAACCAAACCCATGCTGAACTGAGAAATTCAAAGTTTTTTTGCCAAGTCTTAAGTTAATTCCTGTGACCAAAAATTAACAAATGAATTGCACAAAATAAAATATTTACTTGACTTAAAAAAATAATAAAAACATTTTTTTCTACCATTAAAAACATAATGGAGATGGTTTAAATTGTGGGATGTGATGTATCAGTGAAAAAGAAAACCGGTTCCTTCCTGACCATCATTATTTTGAAGATTTAAATTGCATTTACAGAAAGTATCACTTTAAATCTGAGTGGACCAATTTTCCAAATGAACATTATTGAATAATAAAACAAGTTTTAATATCTGGTCTCGTTTGTTCATTCAATTTTTGTTTACAAATTCAAAATGTTTGTCAGTACATTGAGGAGTTGTAAAAGGAACATGCAATTTCAATGGGAATGTCTATCTTTATTAAACCAATTAACAGCCAACTAACTAAACCAGCTCAAAAGAAGCAACACTACATTATATTATAATATTATATATAATTAACTATGACAATCCAATATAACCACTATATTGCTGGGGAAATCCCGGGTAGAAGTGAGGTTGATAACTCCCACCTTGACCAATTGGTTGAGAAGACTAAGAAAAAATATTGTAAAGAATTTTGTAAAAAATATTGTAAAGAATCTAAATAAATTATAAAAAATAAATAAGAAAACTTACTTTGACAATGGCAGGATCTTGGTTAATGGAGGAGTTTGAGAGCAATGTTGGCTTGGGAGGCTCGCACACATGCAGGTCCTTGATGTCACTTCCTCTGAAGATTATGTATTCAAACACCTCGTCTCTCGCCGGCACGGGATGGTCAGTTGGTCTGTCTTCTGTCCCAAAAGAGCGAACTGACGGGTTGAGTTGTCATTTTGTTCAATTGTCAGCAGTTAAATAAATTCAATGTGTTGAATTGAAATAAAAGTTGTGTTGACGAACGCATTCATCGAAATTGTATTTTTGAACAACACACTCGACAAACAAACGGCCATGTTACCTTTTGCAAGCGCGACAGTCGATTCATTCGGGTCTATTGTGTACAGAATACCTTCATATCGAATTTCGGCTTTCGAAATTAAGCTTATTTTGCTACCTAAGTAAGGTATGCCGCTGCCACTCGTTTTACTCATGATTTGATATAATTTGATATAATTTAATTAATGTCAATTTAATTAAACCAATACTCCAACCACATTCAACGTGCCTGAACCACGAGCTGGCATCAAAAGAAGCAGCTGACACAAATTTCCCTCCAAAAAATATACGAAAGACAAAAATATCATAACGGTAATAATTAATTGGAAAGTGTAAATGCCGTATATATATATATAAAATAAAGTAAAAAAGTGTTAAGTTTGAAAAGACGGAAAATACTTTCACTAACTTTCACTAGCACGAAAATAGTGGAGTAGCTGGGCTGAGGGAGGCCCAGTTTGAACAAACTCTGATAGGGTACTTAACTCATTTCAAAAACAGTTTTGACATGAGGTATTTAGAATAAAAATTGCATCTAAAATTGTATTTTTTTATATTATGTAAAAATGATAATCAAAACAAGCATTCATTGTCAATGATTTAAAACAGTTGAAATATGCTTTGGCAAATGTGTAAAAAGAATAGCCCTGTCAATCTCTGAATAACGATCATTTATATACTTTTCTAGCCTTTTTTGACTCGTTGATGAGCCAAGTACTTTCGAATTAATTTAATTTTAAAAAACGTTTGTTCGTTTTCAACAGTTGTCACTGGCTGAAGTTTCTGCAACGGCAACTATACCCTGTCTACGATACAGAAGAATTAGATGTGACTTGATAAAAGTATAAATTATTTGGTGATGAAAGACAGACGTGTGTAATCTAAAGCTGAAACTGCGTGAACGTGTGAGAACGAGAGGGCATAATATGAAACTAAATACGTGTTTTTTAATGAAGAATCTCATAATTAAGTACAATAGCTATAATTCAGTGCTTATATAGGGCCACGTTATTCTACATATATGGTTATTCCCATATAAATAGAACATAGTACAATATTCAACAATATATTCAACAACAATATTCAACAATATATTCAACAACAATATTCCATAGTACATGTGCTTGAGAATTTGTTCTTACTTACTAAATTTTCCGGTCAATTTTAAATTTAAAATTATTTAAAAGTTTATTATATACTCAATTTTACTCACTAAACTTTGCCGGCGAAGCCCTTTCGGTTTTATTTTAAGTTTTATTTATGTGTGTGTGCAATTTTTTCGTTTCTTTGAATGGTTACAATTTTATTGAACTTTTAAATTAAATTGATTAATAATTAAGATTACTGACATTAAGATTACTGACATATTATGATATGATTAATGACATAATCATTAATGATTAATTTAATATTAATCATTATAATGTTAATTTAATCATTAATGATTTTTAATTTACTGGCAAAATTTCACACTGAGTGAGTTATTTCATTTTTTTATTTAATTATTAATAAAATAAAAAAAAAATTAATATCAATTCGCTTGTTATTCTCTTCATAGTCAAATCATCATTTTTTATAATGATAATCAGATTGAATCACCAATGCAATGAACATGGACAGGACAGTGATTACAATTATTAACTGACTAACAACAATACAATTGATTGAGTTGAATGTTGAACATGAACTTGTGATGAACATCCTCACAATAGAATAGATGAGATACTATCTTTTCTAAAAAATTTATTTAAAAAATGGAATGCGATCATATATTACATGCATATTCATTGAAGATTGAACAATGCGATGAATGTTGACATGATTACAATTATTAACTAGATGTAGATTACAATACTATTGAGTGATTGACTTGTATTGAACATGAACACGTACATTGTTCATGTGATGTGCACATCCTCACAATGCATGAGATGAGAAACATGTATGACTTGATAGTGTAGTTTTTTGGTGATTATTTTTGCAAAGATAATTTGCAATTATTATTTTTTTTTACAGGAACTCTTAAAGCATAAATATGAGTTCTGCTTTGTTAAAAGATACAGACGTTGAACGTGGGCTCCAAAGGAAGAAACTGTTCATAAATTCATGCATTTCAAAGAACACATCTAGTAAGTTTTTATCACTTTTTCTTTTCCATATTCTTTGTTTCTTTTTAATGTGTTTTATTATATTATAAAACTTTGAAGCTTCTCGATTTAGAATGTTTTTTTTATAATTAATTAATTTTGGCAATATGCATCTACCATGGCCGACATATCAACCATTCAGAAATGTGGATATGAAAATGTTATCTATTTGAATTAGATGAATGGCACACAGTAGTGTAAGAAAACTTTAGAGGCTTAAGAACTAGAACTATATAATTATTTACATTTAACTTGAATAAAAAATAATTTTAACATTGAAATTTTCTTACTGGATGGTACTTTATGTACCAAGCTTAGTTGAGAGTCTAAATTTATACTTGAAAACTCCATATTTCTAGTGAACTCAACATACCGAAAAAAGACACTTCGTGCAAACAACAGAGCTCTAGCCAGAGCACTTTGCAAGAAAAAACTTGAACTGTCTGAACTTAGAAGAAAATTTCTTATACTTCAAAATGAAAATCAACTGTTGAAGTTTCATTGCAATGAAAATGTCTCTAATGATAATTGTTTATACGAGGTTACATTTTGATATAAATTTATCTGCTCTTCACTTCATGTCATTATAAATTTCTAGATAAATTATTATTTTTGAATGTTTTTGTCTGCAACTACTTTGCATTCGATGTAAAAGTAATCACTGAATTTTTTCTAATAATTTTTTTTTTTGAAAATTTTTTTTAGGAGAAATCAAAAGTTTTCCAAAACACTTTGAATGGAGAAGTTGTTAAATTGTATAAGATTTGTCAAAATCTAGTGAGTTTATCTGAAGAGTGTAATATTTTCTGTGAAGGCAAAGGCAAAATTTCAGATGGGCTTGCCTCTGAACAGACAAAATTGCCTTCAGATCATTTAGCAGCTCTCGAGTCAATGCAGATGAATGGTGTGTTGAATAACTATGACTCCATTCAAAATGCTCCTAAAGCTGTATTGGCTACAGATAATAGGTATTTTTCTTTCATGTGCATATATATATATATATATATATATATATATATATATATATATATTAAGTTTTATTAAAAAATTCTTAAATTCTTTTGCATGATAAGCTCGCATAAGTATTTGAGTATTTGTTAAGATTTGTGGCTTTAATTTATATTGCTGAAAATTGCTAATTATTGTGAATTATAGTGAAAATGTCTTCAAATAATCCTTAGGTTCATATTTATTTAAAAGAATGTATGCTACATAATTAGATTGGATGATTTATTTTCAAGGCTGCCTGCAAAACCTCAAAGAGTTCAGAGAATGTTGGAGACGAATGGAAACATGAATGATGATATCATTGATGCTCCAGCTAACTGCTGCAACGATGCTTTTGAATTTGATTTTATGATGTGTAAAAAATTAAGCACTATTACAGAACTGTCAGAGAATGATCTCACGTGCATTAAAGACGGTATCTATATTCGTTAATATTTGCATTCAATTGTTTTATTTCACCATCACATTGTTTCGTTCACTACCTACTTCATTGCATTCAATTTAACGTTCCTCTATACAAATGTAAGAGTCAATTACATGACTGATATACAATGCAGGAAGGCTTGTTGTTGTCTTTGACTGGCTCATGAGTTAGACGCCCCTGATTTAATAATTGTTCATATTTCTTGGTGTCATTTTTAAAGCAATGATTTTTACATTATTTTAATTTGTTGTTTTACATTGGAAATATATTGGTTAATTGTTATCTCTTTTTCTTACATTGAGATGATAATTTTAATACTGTTGGTAGTTCAGTCCTCAGTGCTTTTCAGAGATGGATATTAACAATCGTTAACATGCACTTGAGCGTATTTGTTTTACATGCAACTATTCATAAACACTTACAATGGAAGCAAGTTGCTGAACCTGACGCTTCATTCATTTCACTTGTGCAAAGTTATTTTATTTTTATTAACTAATATTATTATTTTTTCTATATTTAGATGAGTTTCTCTCTAAGCAAGGAAACTTAAATGAATCTATAGTAAGCCCCAGTCAACGTATCACTGAGAATTTAACCAGCACATATACCTCTCCAACCGAAAGAAATCCACTTGATTTATCATCTGACGTTCTTCATACTGAAAATCTGTCCTTCGTTACTGAATATTCTGACAAACTCTCAAATGGTTTGAGATTTTCCAAAAATTGTGCGGCAGACAATAACTTTGAAATTAAATACAATATCAGATCTGAAGGCACTATTTGCATTGACGAAGAAAATAATCAACCATTAGAAAAAATAAAAAATAATCATTATTCCTGTGTTTCAAATAAATTGGAAAATATTAAAGGTGGTTCAACGAAGGTTCAATCAGCTGATAGTGAATCAAATCTGAAAACTATCCCATATTTTGCCAGCGTGTCTAAGGAAAGATTTGCAAAACATCTTGATGATAAAAAACTAGCTGGCTGTCTCAACGAAAATGGCAGACATTTAAAAGACAACCATTGTTCTGTTACAAAACGTGATATACTGCTGAATGATTTAAATGTATTGAATGTTATTGCAAACCCTAGTAAAGAATACCAATCTTCCTGTAGTAACACGAAAAATTATAAAAATATGGTTGTTGAGACCTCTGATGATGAAAATTGTCCCGACTTGAATGAGCTCAGAAGAACTCATCTGTTCACTGAAAAACTTCTAATTTCACCTTTAATGAAACGAAAGAAAAGTGACGAGTGTTCGACATTGAAAAATGGAACTTCACCTGAATATCCTAAAGCTAAGAAACTTTCAAGTCTGTCTCCCATATTGCAATTGGTTGATGTAAAATCTTTTCTACAAGTCTGCGAATCAAATGTAACTTGTAAAGGCGTTCAAGAAATTTTCTCTGATCAAAGGATACATGAATCATTAAATATTAAAACAACCGAAACTGATGATCATAATTCTTCCCAGAATTTAAGTCATACCTCCACCGATATTGAAAGCAATATATTAAAATGTTTAGAAAACGCTGATGTGTCAAACTGCCCGGACTCAGCACAAATGTATAATCATAATAACGCAAATAAAAAAATTAACAAAAGATTGTCATCTGTATCGACATCATCTGAATCAAGGTATTCTTCAAATGTTCTTTCAAACTTTCTGTTTTTTGTAAAGTTGTCTGCTATAATACTTGAAAATAATGTTCAATTGAGTAAGATAGCGATGAATATCGAAACAGATTGTCAGAAGACTTCAGAGCAGGAAGAAGAAACAAATTTGTGAGTTATAAAGAACCGCCTTTGAACACGTATGTGTTTTCAATTATTTTGCTAATTTTTTCCATAATTGCTAAAAATGTCTCACGTGTATACCATTCGAACAGGAAGCTCAGAAGGGATGACTGTCGTGCCTCATCTGTTCATAATAAAAAGAAAAGGAAACGTTAACCTTCACTTTAAGTATTAATTTCTAATTGATACTTGTTTTTATACTCACTGAATTGTTTTCTTCTGGTGCAAATCTTTAGTTTGACTTCAGTGTTAACAACGCTGGCTGGTCATTTATTCTCTCTTATTTTATTAATTTATCTTTTTGGCAACTTTCTGGTTTCTCTTTTCTTAACGCTCGTATCGCTTATTCTTTTTTTTAAACAAGTCTTCTCTCTTTTTTTTATTTACGAATTTTTTAGTGTTTCTTTTTGTGGTAATATGAGTTATATGAGATTAAATAATAGCATATTAAATATTAACAGAACGTTTACGTGCGTGCAGTCAAATGTGGCTCTTGTGAATCCTCTGAAATCTGACGATAACTAACGCCTTCAACAATGAACCCAGCTTATCAATTTCCATTCGTTTAAAATATAATAGAAAAAACTTTTCTTTTTGTTTTATTTTTTTGTTCTAAAAAAAAGTGATATTTAATTTGCATTGTAGCTGGGTAGGTTGTTCAATCAATCTTCGTTTTGCGTCCAGAGACCCGGTTTCTCGAGGTAGGACGTTGTTTTCTTTGCCATCAACTTTTTGCGCCAAATTAGACGATCAGTTGTATCCATTTCATTTAAATTTAGAGCTTTCATGTCTTGCTCGATTGTTTGCGACCAGGACTTCTTTGGACGGTCTTTGGGACGTGTGCCAGGTACTTCAACATCTGCAAGAGAAGTTATGGCACTGTTTCCACTTCGTTTGACATGACCAAACCACCGCAGACGGTGTTGCCGGCATTCGTCCTTTATATCATCTAAACCAGCACGACGCAGGATTTCGGTAGATTTGATGTGGTCTTTCAGATTAATTCGTTGCATCCATCGGAGCATTTTCATGTCGGTTGGTTAAAATTGTTGTTCCAGTTTGGTTGTCATTGGCCATGTTTCTGCACTATATAACAACACCGGACGTATCACAGATTTATAAAGTCTTGATCGTAGTGGTAGTGGGATGTCACGCCGCATCAATATAGAGGCAAGGAGATGCCATTTATTCCAGGCTGCACGTATGCGTGCTCGAACGGCAGCTTCAGCTGTTCCAGTACAATCCAGAACATCCCCTATATATTGAAACGATGTGACTTTCTCTATTTTAATGGCTTCAAAAACAGTGCTATTTCGAATTTGTTGTTGTGGATTGGTGCAAGCAGGACAAACAAAATTGGACACTTTAGATAAAGTACCAATTATTTTAGAACAACGTTTGTGACACCACTGGTTACACTGCTGACACTTGATTGAATTGTTACCTACACCAGCTTTACAAACTGAACAGGGCCATTGTCCAGTAGCTGTGGATTGGATGGGTTCACCAGTGTTCATTGCTTTGGTTTTGCTGATGTTGACTTTGAATCCATGATCGGCGAGTCTGGTGTTCCAATCTTCAAACATCTGTGCTGCATTCTGCTCAGACGTGGCTGTTAAAACGATATAATCAGCATATACTAGATTCCAAATGTCACCAGGGCGTATCGGTTTTGTGATTTCTTCCATCACAGTTATAAATAACAGTGGACTGAGAATCGAGCCTTGGTGAACTCCAACGCCGATGTCAAATGCATCTGTGTTTCCAACCGTTGTGCTGACAAAAGTCTTAGTATTCGTATACATTTCCATCACAAGTCGAACAAGATATTCTGGAATGAGTTGTCGACGTAGACTCCACCTGATTGCTTCACGGGGAACTCGATCAAATGCTTTTTCAAGGTCTACAAAAATGTGTGATAGTTGTTGATGCTTTGCGAGGTACTTCTCTTGCAGTTGCCGAAGGATGTGAATTGCATCAATTGTTGATTTCCCCGCTAGAAAACCAAATTGATAATTTCCGATTGTGATGCACGACGTTAATCTTCTCTCAATGATCTTTTCGACAATTTTCAGGGAGTGTTCTAACAGACGTATACCCCGAAAAATTGAAAAGTTGTTGAAAAATTAATACTGGCCTGGCTTCAATATAAATTATAATTTTTTTTTTTTGAAAATGGTTTTCCTCTGCCTGTTGGAACTCTTCGATACAATCGAACTATTTGAGAGTTTTTTTTAAATTATTTTATCTAAATTAATTTGTTACGATTAGTGTCAATCTTACATTGATATAACTAATGAATAATAATATACATAGAATGAGATTTCTCCATATGTATTTTCGTGTTATGTTGATCTTCAGTTACGTGGTGCGTTAAATGTTGGCCGCTCACTCTGCTCTTAAATGTCGATGATTACTACCGTAGCATAACTAGCGATCAATGCATTTTATACTGTAGCCCTGTCGTAATCTTTCCATGATGCACTTCACTGGAAACAAGAGCAGTGTGGACATACGCGCCCATTGCAATTGATACAAGAAACTTCACCGTGGTGATATAGTAATACTGCAACAATTAAGTTAGAATAATATACAATTACGCAAATGCTCCCAGGTCAACGTCCAGTCAAGTAGTTTTCTTTAATTCTTAACTGCACGTTGCCGTCTCAAAATATGTTATCACGGTTCATTACCGATAATAATCAAATTATTATTATTCTTATAAATTTTTCAAAGATTTTGAATTAAATGCGTAAGTGAACTAGTGCGTCTTCAGTTCCTGTTTGAATTTTTATTGGAACAATTTGTTTCAGATGCAGTAGTAGATCGTTCCAAATTTTTAGCCAAGCATCTTGCATACATCACCAGCTTCGTCTTAATTCTAGGGACTACCATCAATTCACAGGAGATCGAAAAACTTTCAAATATTCTGGTCTACCACTATGAATGCAACAGTGAGCAATAACTGCCATCTTGTAAGAAATTTTTTCGTGCCCCGGTAACCAATGAAGATTTTCCAACCACCCATGTCGTCACGTCTACCAGCCCAGAAACAGTCTTGCAGCAGCGTTTTGAAGCGTTGAACTTTCTTAAACACCAACCCCAGCACCAAACATCAACGAGTTACAATAATCTAACCTCGGCAATTTTTCCCATTTTCATCACAGTACTTGTTGAAAACACTGTTTTTTTTCAAACAGAAAACATTGTTAATAAATAGCTGTAAAACAAAATGTAGCCAATTTTGGCAGGATATGTGTATATGTTTGAAGTGGGACTCGGGGTCTTCAGGGTAAAAAATTATTTAAAAAATGCTGAAGTTTTTCGATTATGAAATGTATATTATGTTTATATTGTTGCATCGCTTCTAGACTTGATAACGAATCAAAAAATATTATGAGTTTTTTATCCTTACTTTTTTCATCCCACAGTTTAACCACAAGTCCATGCAGAAATATCAACTGAAGGAAGTTAATGTATCAGCACATCACTTCACCTGTAAGATGATGTGTGGAGTTCGTTGTTTACTTGTTGGTCCTCTGCTCTGGTTTTTGAGTTTTTAAAGTTTTCGAGGAAGTTTTAAATTTAAAGTTCAAATGGCATGATTGCAGATTTGTTGTGTATGTTAAGTTGATCAGCTGAAATACGCTTGTTTGTCGACTTGTTCTTGTTCTTATATTCAATTTCATCATTTTTATTTTTAATTAATTAAATTAATTAATTAATTAAATTAAAAATTCTAAATGCCTAATTTATGTGCCTTAATTAATCATTTCATTAGCACTCTTAATTTTTTTCTTCTAAAAAAATTTTAATTTTAAAATAAATAATGTAAATAATAAAACATTGATATCTAATTTGTAATAAATAAATAAATAAAATAAATATAATATTATAACCGTGAATAAAATAACAAAAACACCTGTGGTAAATTTATCAAACTAACATTACTAACTTCATAATAAAATTTATTTTTATTTAATTTATCATTATTTTATTTTTGTTTAACTAGACAAAATCCATTCAATTCTAAAGATGAACTCTAAGATTTTCAGTATAATAAGCACACCATTGTGTTGTAAATAATACATTAAAATAACTTTAGAGATGTCACATGGTAAAGTAAAGAAAAACAAATCATGATGTCATTTTTAGTTGCTAATTAAAAAACTGATAATTTTAAAAATAATGGGTGATAAGAATCTTTTAAGTTGCACAAAAAGTGGTGTAAAAATCATACCAGCTGACGAGAATGATGCAAGTCCTCTGACCCTCCCAGAACCCACATGGATCCCTGACAAACAGGTGCTTTGCAATGTTTTTACATGTTTTGGTTTTGTTTGCTGAATTGGCATTTATTATTTATTAATAATTGATATCAAGAGTTGAATTACAAGTGGGAAACCAATTGTAAGCAACTTTGCTTTTGCTTAAAAAACAAAAACAAGATACTTTTTCAGCTGTCCTAAAATGTGAAATTGTAATTAATTAATTAATTGAATAATTAATTCACAGATACAGTCTTGTTCTCTTTGTCAAACAAAATTTGACCTTTTCAACAGAAAAGTAAGAATTATAGAGCAGAATATTTTAATATCAGTTACTAACTTACTTGTTTTTGATCATCAATTGATTTTATTGATAGAGTCGTTAGTTCAAGTTAAACAATGCTATTCAATTACTTGTCTATATTTGATGAAGTATGGATCTGCAGTCAGTTACTTTTATGCAAAACACGATGCATCATTTTTGCAGCACCACTGTCGTAGATGTGGCACGTGTATATGCAGGAAGTGCTGCCACAACCGACCACTGCCTCGCATGTGCTTCATCGATCCTGTCCTGCAGTGCAACCTCTGCTCACTCGTCAGCACTCAGGAGGATATCTTCTTTGATGAACATCTCAAATACTTGCAGCAAGGTTACTTTGAACCTCTGTGTGCTTTTTAGCATTATTATTATATTACATTATATTCATTACATGCCTGTGTTAATGTTTGACAATTTATATTTTCATTTTTTCAATTTGTAAAGTTTCATTTCATTTTCACTCTTCAATAAAAAGAGTTGGAAGTGCTTGAAACTAACTTCAACCACATGCATTCACATTAACAACAGCATTCAAGTACACCACGGACAACTGCACTAACATCATCAACATGCACATTTAACAAAACAACAACATGCATATGAACAGCAGCACACCGACTATAATGATGGAGCATTTTGAATAATGTTAACAATTTTGAACTATGTAAACCTTATTTTAATTTTCAAGGATCGGTTTTGAATGTAATGAATTATGATGTAAGTGATGACAATGTGAAAGCTGTGCCAATGTTTTGCAGGCTGAGCAGATCACAGAGGTTTATAATGATTATTTTTTGTTTTTAATTATTTCAATCTTTTATTTCATTTAATTTCTTTTTACATAATTAGTTAAATTAATTTTATATGGATAATACACTAGGGAAATATTGTTCCAATGTGAAAAGAAGCAAACCGTGAATGTGATTGAACCCATATTGTTGTCAGAAATTAAAGAAATGATCAAAATTTCATCCCACAAACATTCAAGTAATAGTTTAATCATGTTCCTAGTTTATTTTTTGTTTTCCTTTTTTACGTGTGTGTGAATGCAAAACGCATCTAAACACTTCACAAACTAATTCACGACAATCATTCGAATTCTATTGAGTGAATGATGTTTTTACTTTAGATCTTTGATACATCATGTCAAGATTGGTGGAATTGGTATTGTTTTTGAAGAATTTGTTGATCAAATTGATGAACTGACAATATTTGAATGTTAAATTAGATATAACAGGTATAAAGCTCTTGTATGATAATGCCTCTCGTGAACATCAGACTTGCACCATGAAGGTCAGCCCCACCAGCCCACAGCAACATCACCAACTGCAGTGGCTTGACGCTCTACTCAAAGTTTACAATCTTCCAATAAATACCTTCTAATGAATAATAGTTTCATTTTAATTGAAAAAATATTTTTTCATATATCTTTAAGGATTGATATGTTTCTACATCCCACCCAGGCTTTTGAGCTCGTTCAAGAAACGAAAAAACTGATGCCCGCCGGTAATACAATAGAAATTCAAGAATAGGCCCATGTATGATGAGGATGGTGGTATATCCTCGCTGGCTTAAAAGCATTGATGTCTACAAGTTCACTTCAGTTATATCATATAACATGGAATCTGTTTTATGGAATTGGTTTTTAAAAACTATCAAAAAAATTTCAATTTTTATGTTTTAAATCAACTGACTGCATAATCTCGTGTGAACATTTTACTCATTTTTGAATTGCGTTTATTTTTTATCGTTGGGTAGCCCATACCCGCTAAACTTAAATGTTGGATTGAGGATCGTTTTATTTAATCATTATGCACACTTGAAATGGCCTGATATTTTTCAATAACTACGTTTAACTTTGTCCGTTACGTTTTTGTTTGATTCATAAAAATACCTGTAGGTTAGATACTTGTTATGAGGAGTAAGTTATTTTGATGGCTTGAATTTGCAATTATTATATATATATATATATATATATATATATATATACCAACATATATATATATATATATATACCAACATATATATATATATATATATATATGTGCGTGTGTGTGTGGTTTGTGTGTGTGCGTATATTATGTACAGTTTATTTTCATCTTCTGGTTTTAAATGCCTAAACATGCTTTGGTGCAATTACTTAATATAAACAATCCCACATCAAGTGCGATTGCGTCATAGTGTTTGTTTACTGCTTGCGTGTATGACTTAGTATTTCTTCATAGGAATGATGAGTTCACTGTACTCGTGTGCACGCGTTCCAACGATTATGTACGTGCACGTGTGTGTACGTGTGTGATGCAAGTACACAATGAATTGACAATTTGCCTTGTTCCTGTGATGTAAAAAAGAATTGTAATATGAATTTAAGTAGTTCGTGGTTTCACGTCAGATGTTGAGACTCGAGCAAGTAGATGAACGAATAAATAGAAAAAAATATCGAAAAGCATTATTGATTTAAAGTGCAGTCGAATGCAGGCTTGCTTGATCGTCAGAATGCGGCAATGCATCTGTCAATATCATGTGACGATGTCGTCAAAATTCGAATATCAGATTTCTAGGGGGTACCGCTATAAATAGTAACCTTATCTAACCTAATTCCAGAACTGCACAAGGTCATCGCATTCAAGGCAACACCTTGTTTAATTAAAATCACTTTACGAACACACAACGACCAATCAAATTACCTCACACTGCAACGCTGTAGCTGAAAGTAGTTCATAATTATTTATATCGTCCAATGAGGGTTAAGTATGAATGAAATTAGCATAAAATATTAACGGTTACGCCTACTATCATGTACGGGCTAAACGTCAACAACATACCGGCATATTGGTTGTTTACTAACAGCTGATCGCCATTGGAGTTTTTTGTTTGTGAATTTTCATCAAGAGTACAATATTGGACCAAATTCGATAAAAAAGAGAAAAAGCGTTGAGAATTATGTTCGGAAGTCGCAGACCTGGCAAACGATCGATCGTCGGGACGAAAGTTTGCGCGTTGTTCGACGATGGTTTTTACCGGCCGGGTGTAATACAAAGTGTACACATACCTGCCAACTCACAACTGGCACAAACATACACCGTCACATTTGATGAGGGAGGAACCTTCTCTTACAGCGAGTCTCAGTTAATTGGACCAGGTTTCCAGAGTTTAACTAACGATTCGTTGAAAGTTGGTCAAAAAATTTATATAACCTTCAACAGTCGGGAGGTGAAGGGCTGCATTATTGGGAGTGGGGTCCATGAAAATGGTTCCTCCACTGCCGAATACAACAAATATTGGCTGGTTGGATTGGGAGATGATTGTAACATCAGGGTGAAGGTAAAGTTAGATGACATTCGGCTGATGGAGAGCAGAAAATCAGCGAGGTTGTCAGAAATGGATACAGATTACACTAAAATGGCAGATCTTACGAGTGTTGAGAATAAGAAAAGAAGCAATTGCATTGATGTGCCTAGTCACGCTACCAAACATTGGTAAAATAAAATGTTTAATATATCACTTATGTGATACACACCACACTATATGTAATTTTTTATAATAAAAATAATTACTATCTTAAATGAAATTTTAACATTTTTATTTTTTACTTTGTGTTAGTTCATTATTTTTATTCATATATAATATAAGCAAATCAAGCCATTACACAACTGATGACTCCTTGCTGACTCGAGACATTGAGATGGAAGTGATGGATGAGAACATGGCAGCCATGGTACTTACTTCACTTTCTTGCAGTCCTGTATCATCACATCTGCTGCCTCTAAAGTTCAGCTTTGAACAATGTCAGTTGGTTCCCATTAACTTCATGTTAATACTTTTTTGTTCTATAATTTCTGCTTTAATTAAATGGCTGTGAAACTTGAAACTCACTTAAAATTTTTTCAGTAATGTTTACGATTTTACATTATTAATTCAACTATTCACATGATATCTCAACATGCACCAATATTTAAATATTACAGCAACATTCAGCCCTGCCACCTCACCTTCTGTCAACAGCACCAGCCAGTTCACAAACAGCCACAACAACAACACATCCTCATCATCACCCACTGATTCCCTACTTTCTAGAAGTGCTCCCTCCAGCACCAACAGTTTCATCTTTAATCGTGAGAATTTGTCACATTTTTATAGTTATTAACTGTTTGCATCATTTTGTTCAGATGAAATTTTGATTTTTCCATTTCTTTGTTTCTGATTTTGGGTTAAAATTTAAGAATTGTTCTTACAGATGATGATGACAACAAAGATACAACATCAACAACATCAATGATGACAATAATGGAGCCATATGAAGTAATCAACCATGTTATCTTTCTTTGTTTTTATACTCTTTCAAAATCATTAGAATCTTTTTTAAAACTTTTTTTAATCATTAAGCTATTTGTTTTAAACATTATAAAATAATTTAAAAAGTTCATCATTACACGACATAAAAGTTTTCTAGGACAGTCTACCAATGCACATGGCCTGGATGCAAGCAGATATACAACACTTGCAATGGAATTGAGAAACATGTGAGAATGGAGCATTTGGGGTATGCTTCATGTCTTGTTTCTGCCATTGTTTTATATTATTCTTTTAATATCCTACATGGAGTTTGTTTTCAGGAAATATTGAAGATTATTTCAACTAACCATTGATTTGTTCTATTACTGCTTTAATCGTTATCACCAGTAGAATTGCTTTGATATTACCACATCCCTATTGAGGACTCAATAGCATTTTCATGTTAATGCATCATTTCAGGCCGAGAAATGAGTTGGATCATGAGGAGGAATTTTATTACAGCGAGTTTGAAGTGACGATTGACTCCTATAAGCAGCAAGTGCATCAGCGCCACCAAGAACATCAGCAGAATGATAACCATTACAACAACACTGACAACCAGCAGATGGAGGATTCAGACTCACCATCGTCGCCCACATCACCGACGATGGTGTCTAGCCTGGCAAGAGAAGACAAATCACCAAACTGCATGTTTTTCAACGATGCCACATCTGATCACAACTATCAGAAAAAGGTGGCTGCATGCTATCATTACTCAAATATTTCAGTTTATTTATCATTGCAGATTGCTATTAATTTTGATTCCTACGTTCCTGGTGCAAATGATTTGATTGTGTAAAGGAAAAATATTTTTATGAAAGTGATACCATTCTTATAATTTACACAGAATTTAAAAGTAATTATTTTTTTACGTTATTTAACATAAATGAAAAAAAGTGTATGAAATGTTGTTAATGACGAAGGAGTCCATGTCAATATCTATCCCGTGCAATTCAAAGTATCATCACAGCTACCATCTTAATCCTCCACCTCCAACTCCCACTAATTCTCACCACTTTACGACATCGTCACTGTCAAGGTCGTTGCCATGGAAGTTACCTGATCAGGTGATCAAGAGTTTGTCTCTTCTTTGATAATTTTCATTTTTTAACATCTTGCATCAATTTCTGATGAATATCTATTACTTATTGTATCAATCTTGAAACTAGCATTTGTAGTGAATATGTGCACAAATAAGTTTAAACATTATTTCTAGAACTCTCGTAGACTTGTCACTTTATTTTTCTTTTATTTTTAACGTGTTTGATGCGTAAAATATGGTAATTTTTGATGCTATTTTCTCACAGCTTAAAAATGAAAATTTTTACTGTAAGAAGTGATGCAAGGGATAAGGAAGGTGTTGTGCTAGGCATTTAAACGAGATGTTGGCAAAGTGGGTTCATTTTATGTGACCCACGAGTATTTTATGCGGTTTAATTAATTTGTGCTTTTCTTTATACTTCAAATTTTCAGATGCCCTCCCCTATCAATGAAAACAATTCACTGGTTGGTCAGTCAAAATCCTTACTGGCCAATCAGAAAAAGTCCCGCAATGAAGTTAAAAAGTGTAGAAAAGTTTATGGCCTAGAGAACAGAGCTGCTTGGTGCACTCAGTGCAAGTGGAAAAAGGCGTGCACCCGTTTTCATGAGAAATCATTCGACTACAGTTAATTGCTGGTTTGCATGGCTGCTCTCTGCTGTTGTTGGCTGCACGGTGACCTGGTTGGTTCTTGCTTAGTAATGTCATTTCACATCATTTACTGGTCATTTGCTTGTTTTGCGTTTTTGACTGCGTCGTATGTTCCGTAACCTTTCATTTTTTCTTTTTATTCTGCTTGATTTCATTAAATGTATTTAACTCATGCGTTGTCCGTTAATTCGTTTATCTCCATTGATTGAAATCAATGAACTTGTTAGGTTATTTTATGATTAGGTAGTATAATGATAACATTTAATTGTACATTGTTATTACAAAAATTTTGGTCTAATGATTATTATTCGAGTTAGAATTGTATATACAGATTGTCATCTCATTTCATTTCATGTCATTTCATTTTCATTTATTTCGTTTACTCTTATTCTTATGCATTATTTTTGCTAAATTATTTTTATATACCATAAATTTGTTATTGATTTATTCTATCTGCATACGGCAAAATAATTTTCAGCAAAGCAAAGGGCTTGAGGTAGTTGTAAAGTTGTAGCCATTTGTCTCTATTAAGATTTCAACAGCTTATTAGCTGGATTGATGGAACTGTAACTTGCATGCAAATGTTACATTGTTTAAATTAAATTGTATTATATATTTTTAATTTTGATTTTTTCGTTTGGTTTTAATTTTCCATTGCTTGTTAGTATTCACGTACAACAAGCAGTTTCTTTTGCGTTGTTGCATGTTTTAAATTGTTATTTGATGTTACAATGATCTTGTCATCAGTTTTAGAAGTTTTTTTAATCGTTGTTAGTTTCAAAAGTTGTTGTTACCTAATATTGAAATTTCTGTACAACGTTCAAGTAGCGTTTATTTAATCATGGTTTAAGTTGAAAGCTTTTACGTCACCCTTATATGATTTTTGTTCAAGTTTGTATTTTGCATATAAAATTGATACAGTCGTATCCTTAAAATGTGCAGTGCAGTTGTTAGCTCGCGAATTATTCAATACATTATATTTTCATAAATAAATATTTCGAAATGTCATAGTTAAGTTTTGCAATCGACATTATTTACTGATTTCACGCAGACCGGATTTTTCTAATTTAAAATTTATCATTTTTCTTTCGTGGGAACATTAATTTGAATTGTACAAAATATTTACCTATTAGTCGTATGCATTTAATTAGAGTTTACGTTGCACTTGTTAATTATAATTTATTAATTGGTGTTGGTAAGATTCAATAACATATATTGCATGTAATATTGTATTTACTACATTTTAGTTCGTTGTTACTTCGTCTAATCTGATTGTATCATATGTACGTACATTTAAAGATATTAGTTACATGCCATCCGCATTCGTTATGTTTTTGTCTGTGCGTTTCCATCAGCATATTTATTTATTTATTTGACTTTTTTTCTCATTATATTGTCTTGTTATATCATGTTTGATAACATATTTCTCAGGTTTATGATGTATTCATAGCATTATGCACAAATGAATATGTTTACATATGTGTAAGTGTGCGTATGTATGTATGTACGTGTGCACGTATATATGGTTATACCGGAGCTTATATAATAACTGATACTTGCATGCGGGGAGTATGGGGTAATTGAGTATGCAATCATTTCAAAATAAGAAATGCTAGAAATTGAGATGAATTAATTTCATGGACATTTTGGATGATTGTTTGTGTGTGTGTGTGCGTACACGTATGGCAGAATGTTCTGAGCGTTACTAATACATCTAATTAAATTAATGTGATTAAGTAGTATTAACTAATTAATTATTTAAACATACATATTTATCCATAAACCTTTATTTTAGTAATGTATGCTAGTAAATATAGGAAAGATACGCTGTAAGTTATCCAACTAAGCAATAACTGAATGTCGTTGTGTGATTCGACACGCCACATCTGAGCTAAGAACCGTTGTGCACGTGTGTGTGTTGTTGGTTGTTGTGTTAAACAATACCTATGAATATCTTTTGTACTAACTACCCAGGCAGGATAGTTGACTTGATTTTCTTTTATGATGGCGTTCTTTTTATTTGCTCAGTTTTTCGTTCATTGTTTCTTATTAGTTTTAGCTTTAAATGGTTGTAGATAAAGTTGTGAGTTAAGTGCGTTGTTTTGAATGGGATGTATTATTTTTGCTACACTTCAGTAACCAATAACCTGCAATTTTCATATTTATTATACCATGTTTAGTTGTTGCTGTTTACAATAATTTACACACTCTTGTATAACGCCGAAAGGTAATGCAAAAGTTGATCGTTAGCCACCAAATCATGGCTCGTCCATTCGTCGTGATCGGTCTTTTGTTTCATAACAATAATATCGACACTAGAATTAACCACAGCAAATATCCAGTAACGTCATTTTATGCAAATTTGTGTTTAAATGAAGATTCGTTTTCTCTAATTTCATTAATGCCTTCATGTCATGTCAGTCGGTCTTTGTTATTATTTTCTAACATTTTCGGAAGTGTTATTAATCATGTGTGTTAACTTGAAACATTCTTTTAATAATTTTATTGGATGCCCTCCTTTTCTAATCTTCTTTCAATGGATTTATGCGTATATATATATATATATATATATATATATATATATATATATATATATATATTTATATATATATATCAAACGTTTATTTTGGTTCTAAATTAAAAATAATTATTATTGCAAGTTAATCAAAAGAAGTAATGTTTCTGTTTAGAATATAAGTTGAATGTAATAACGAATTCCCCTAAATCACCCTTGGTTAAACATACGTGCCCTGCCATTGTTCCAACTGACGCAAACTTTCACATTAAACAGATGCGCATTAATTAATTAATGGTTGCATAGTTGTGTTGGCAACATTTTTTTAAACCATTTTGAAAACAGTTTTTTGAAATATGATGCTTTAATTCAATGAAATACAAATGTTAAATAAAATTTAACACAATCAAGGCAGGTAAAAGCGTGTACTGGATGAACTGTTGACGTAGTAATATACATTTTGCACGTTAAATGTTAAAAGCAACTTCATTTCATTCAGGTGCGCGGTCACTAATTACGTATGGTAACAAAAACAAAATTTGTGAACTCAAAATATTAGAGATGTATCAAATTTGCGTGTAGGCCAAATATGCAACAAGCTATTAATCCAAAACCTAACGCAAAAATTTTAAAAAAGGTTAAAAGTCTATTACAATCTTTCTAGCTATTTAACACTCTCTTGTGCTAGTTCTGCGTGAGATGTGTGACGTTTTACAAAATAAATTATCAACAATTAAAACAAGTTTTAAAACAAAGAAATCAATTACTATTAACGATTTAAATTAAAATTGAATTTTTGAAATGAAAAAAGTAATAAAATTATATAAATATTTCCACATGAAAAATGCTGAAAACAACGAATGATTGCACAACGCTCATCCATTCGGCCTTTTAAAATGACCAGAACCCAGCTGGTCCCGAATTTTAAACATCGGCTTCAGGATATCGATATAGTTCATTAAAATACATGTACCGTATCTATATATATCTATTATTGTTATAATAATTTCCATAGTTAATATGAATGACCGTAACCATTTACCATGCTATGATTATGACGATTTGATTACCTATTTGTTACATACAATATTCAGTGTTAGATTTTCATTCTGGTTAACATTATTAATTTTATATGTAAGGTATAGAAAATTTAAAAACGTGTTTTTGTTTCTACAAATTGTTAAAGTCTCAACAAAAATAAAATAATCACACACACATACATTATATAATATGCATACATACATGTGTGTAAATGTCATACTTAGAATCGGGTGATGAAGTTTAAGACAAACTAGAGAGCATTGGACAAATGACTCGTAGCAACTTGATGAGGTGAAATTTCTCAAAACAAAAAACATAGTTGGCAACCAAATTCAATTTATTCAAGTACACACATTAACAAGCCTGTTTTGACTTACCAAAATATCATCCCAGCAAGACTGCATAAGATAACCGAGACAGAGATTTGAAATGTTGAAGGCATCGAATAGTGGACGCTTGAATGATATATGTCAATGGTAACTGAAGCTAAGGAGCCAGCGCAGAAGGTAGTGTTTCACCACTGGGTCCTTGAAAGTAATATCTACAGAATGCAAATTATTGCTTCTATTAAGAGGATTGATTGGTGAAACAAATATGTGACACAACAACAGAGGTGACGATACAACCACGTAACTGCTATAAATAGAGATGACGCAACAAACACGTGGACTCCTGCAACTAAAGACGACGCAACAAACACGTGACAACTGCACTAACTTGAATGCACCTGATGCAGGCGTTTCTTCAACATTGAACTCTGCAACTGTCACACCTATTCATTAATTATGAATATTTAAACGAATGATTGGCTGGTATACCAAATAATCCATCAATTAAACATATTTAAATTCTCGCCTTTTTAATAAATCTCCAGCGTCAACTAATGTCTTATTTGATAGATGCGTCGCAATTGAAGAACACTTGAATTCTTGTACTACTATGCAACAGGACAAGTAACTCAATAAAATATTTTGATTACATACAAACAATTTTGCCGACGAAAGAAGGAAATAAGCAGGCCACTAGAACAACGCGAAGAATTAAAGTATCCACATATTTTGAAAAATTTAAATGACGATGATGGTGGAAAGATTTACCGTAATACTGCGCGAGTTGGGCGAGCCAGACCCACCGTTAAACGTCTTTGAACGTCCAGGCAGTGAGTTGAATAGCGGAGAAACGGAGATATATGACAATTCCTAAATGGCAGCTACTTAAAGCACAAAGTGGTAGTTTATTTCATAGAACAAAAAGCCTCTCTTACTTACACAAAAGAAAAAAATTGAGCACCAAAGCAAAGGATGGCATAATGAGAGTAGAAATATCTTTGCACCTAATCATAACACTTTGATTATACTGAGTAGTATTTTCATGAAACCAAGAACAAATAGCAATAATAAAGATAATTACAATCAACACATGCACACAATTCATATAATGACTATCAAACCACCAAGTATCAAATGAATCGAGTGAGAAACCTCTGCTGGCGAGTTCAGGAGCAAACATGGCAGCAGGATACACAACTGATGATGTCCCAACCTGCAACATTTGTTATTCGGTGGTCTGTTATTAATTCTCTACTTGCACTTTACATTTGAAAAAACTTTTTTCATTTTCAAGAGAACAATATCGGAGTGTACAGGAATGAATGCTCATGTAGACGAACCACGAGACAGAGATCACAGGTATCCAACTCAGCAGTTGCCTTCTGCAGCACAACTTCATCCAGCATTTCACCGAACCAAACAACGTCAGGTCTTACCAGGCCACCACAATCCGGCTGCCTACATCTGCCAATAATTTGAATATTTTCATTACTTGATTATAAACAAGTTACCATCCACTTTAACCTTCCCATCAAACATGTCATCCAACAAAAGTTAGTTGAAAGCAAAAAAATGATTGATGTGTCATGACGAACTTGGGCAACTGGTCCACAGGGATTCTTGCATCAGGGACATCCACATCTGGTTCTCTGCATCATTTCAAAAAAAATTCCAAAATATAATCCCATCAAACTTGTTATACTTATTTTAAAATGTTTAAAACGTTTTGATCTTTATGAATGTTAATACTTGAAATACTATGCAAAGAAGTAAATGCCACTGAAAATAAACGTTAAATGAAAAATACAAAAATTATAAATGACTCATAACTAAGATCTCAAGAGTGCAAAAATGAAATGAAAACAGCAACCAATAACTACGAAGGTTAAGAAATGAAATCTGCAGCAGAAAATTGTTAAAAGTAAAAAATGTAGGCAGCAGAAACAAAGTAGCTGACCCTCTGTCTTTGAGTGCTTCACAGATAGGACTGCTTCTATCTACCTCTCTGTGACCACACTTTGTGCATCTAACTCTAAACAGGCTACCTAACAAATTATTTTTACCGGCGCATCAACAAACATCAATAAACGTCAATGGACACACACACACCTATTTTAAGACTAAGAAAATCAATTACCAGCCATGAACCTCTCAATGTACATGAGTGACCAATCATGAAGAACAACAAACATCAATGAACTTAATAAACCATGTAGTTCAATAATATTCTTGGATCCTGCTGTATAATGCAATTCATCAATATTTTGAGTGATCACGGTAAACTTTCTGCCTTCCGAGAGGAAACGTTTTTCACACTTGGCAATAGCAATGTGACCCTGCAAACGTATAACTGAATTAAACAAAGTTCTCAAATACGTTAAATAATTTGTCAACTGAAAGCAATAACCGATTAAGCTTAATAATAAGCATACAAATATTTGAAATGATAAACAGTAAATTAACATTATTTGGTTTTTTGGTGAGCATAACTTCCCTTCTGTAATGATAGAACTCCCAAACCAATGATGGATTCCTGTTAAATGCCTGAGGTGTAGCTAAATCCTGATGTAATAAAACAACAACAACAACATACGTTTAGACGACATTTTCCCCGAGATCGGGGGTTGCCTGATGTAATAAAAACATTGTTGAAATCACTATCACATAAAATTCAACTTAATTATAAAAATTGTAACTTTATCTAATTTACAAAATATTTTTAATTTTCAGATTAAATTATAAATATTTATTTATAAGCACAGCAAACGAATAATAATTACTTAGTGTTTTTATTAAATGTTTTTAAAATTGTCATATGCAAAATTGTCAAATGAGATCCTAGGTTAATCAAACAAAAGTTTAATCACTTTTCAATCTTTCTTGTTATGCATCTATTTTTTACAAAAAAAAAAACAAATTCTGGCTGTATTATTTAATTATTAATAATTGTTACCATCAAATTATTTATGAATTTCCAAAGAGATTTAATTAATAAATTTATGAAATCTTCAATTTACAGAATATTTTTGAATTTGAGAAACTTAAGAAACTGATATAATAAAATTTTAGTAATGTTATGTAATATGTTTGTCTATTGAATGCATTTTTATTTCATTTATCTAATCTAATCTACTATCCACATTATCTGATCAGTTTGAAAAAATAGTCATTCAAACTTAAAAATAAGCCATAAAAATGTTACAAGTTAAGTAGGATCAATCTATTAATAAATTAACATGATTTTTCTAAAAAAAAAACCTCAAAACGTTGTTTAGTATTTAATTTAATGTTTACCGTGGCCTGCCACTTTCTCCAGAAACCACCAGCTCCTCTGAATGTAGGCACACCACTTTCTGCACTAACCCCGGCTCCTGTCAGTGCAACAACATGTTTGGCTTGGCGTAGTTCCTTCCGAAATGAAGCCAAATCTGAACTCATCCTTATTGCAGATGTTGTCTGTCAAATTATTGAAAATTTCATAACTCTTTATTTTTATTTATTCACCAGCATTTGTATTTTATAAATTTAATTTTCATATAGTTATTTATTGAACAAATTCTACTCATTACATTTGCAAAAAGATAGGTAAGGAAGGAACGTTTTCAAAATCTAAGTTCAAAAGTTAATAAATAATAAATATGATTCAACAAACTTGTGAAGAAGCCATGGTTAAATTTATTTTAGCTTTAGCACTTGAAGTGGACAGTTGCTTAGCAGAGGCATCTTCAAAAAATTAATTTAATTTCTTAACGCAAAAATTTTAAATATGCAAATTACAGAATATGATTTACTAACGACTTGTTACAAAGCGTCTCAGAAAATGCATTTAAAGTTTAAACCACAACTTCATCGATTAATAAATCAATACCAAGGGGAGGCCTATTTACCATTATACAACACTTTCTTATGGGTTGAAGCAGGGATATGTAAAGAATCTCAATTTTTGCAACTTTTAATTATTTTCGGTAATGTTGATTTTATTTGTTTAAATTTATACCAAATAAAAGTAATTAATTACCATATTAAATAACAATTTAAAAAAATAAAATTTTAACATTTTGAATAAAAGCAATATTCCGTAATTAGTAAATATACTATCGTAACTTTTGACTCGAACGATAAAAAATCACCCTCCATCTCCCCTCCAGAAGTAAGCTCCTTGTTCGACCGTTGAAAGTGAGCGAAGGCCGTTATATTTATTCTAGTTATATGTATCAAACAGTATCTTATTGAACAAAATAGTATCATAAAATGAATAAAGATACTTTTTTTTAATTTAAAAAATTCTCAATTTGATTTCATTGCGATATCGATGATGATGATGATTGTGACTTGACTAATTAAAAAACATCAAATAAAATTTTAAAATAGGATGGGTATATCGTTGAGAAATCGTTGGAGGAAATGACGTCATGTTAACAGTAGTTATTTCACTAGATGGTAGTTGATCAGCCTGTATAAAGATTTTATTCAATTCCTATCAAATAAATTTGACCAAATATCATACGCAGGCAGAACTAAATAAAGAATTAGATAGATAGATATACGTAGTTATAATACATTTATAATGTTGTATTTACACATTCAAATTGTACAATTGTTTTATGGTGTAGTCTCAAATTATTTTGATTCTCTCAAAAAAATTTAACTTTT